CAACACATTTTATTGTTAATAAAGAATTCTACACATGCAATTATTTCGGATGCTGTTCTTCATGTTCTATATTGCTGATGCAGAAATAATAGTAACAGCAGCAAGAAAATTAACTCTCTCCTCAGTATAGAAACTTTCTAAGACAACAGCAACAGCTATTACAACTAGTTATAATATAACTCCATGACTAAGACTACCATCTTATGTCACAAAATACACAGCTCTGAACACCTACAGATGTGAGTTTCCCATTCACACTTACCCAAATAGATGTTATCTGTTTCATAGAGGGACACAATCTCCTGCCAGTCCTGTAACAAGAAAAACAGTTTTTTTTTTCTTACTGCAGAGGTCCATAGCACAAAAACATCCCATCACAAACATGAGATAGTAACAGGCAATGAGATGATGAGCTGAGATGAACTTTATTGTCCCGAAGGAAATTTGTCTTGGGCTAAAAGTGCCGAATGCTGCTGCACAAATACCACAAATACATACTAAAGTACAAAACAACCATACATGACAACATCAGTCATCAAAAAGGGCTTCAAAGGGTAAAATTCATGTATTGCACAGAATGGAATTCCACTTGATCATATGAGCATTTGGCACAAGGTAAAATACAATATTATTACAATATACAAACATTGTCATCAGTCTGTTAAAGCATTGTCTTTCAAACATATGTGACCTTTTATGTTAATGTTTTTCACTGCTTCATTCCCACACATCTACCAAAGTGAAGCAGAAAGCCATGGTACGATGTTTGTCACACACATGAGAATGGACAAAACATCAAGTGACATAATGTGGAATAATACACAAATAAACAAAAAAAGTAATCCAAATCTGGTACGTAACAAATAATTCAACTGCAGCTGATAAACTGTGACTGATGTGAACAAAAGTACAAGTGTGAGCTGCTGTTCAATCCTGATAGGTTCTTCCTCCATGTTGTGATAATTTATAATTCTTAGAAAATTACTGGTGTTGTGGTTAAATATGTGCAACTGTCTTTCTTTGGAGATGCTCATATGGATGTTGCTGCTGTCTGATGCTGCAGGTATTTAAAACAATAGTCTTACAAACAACTAGAATCAACAAACTAAACTTAAGCTCCTGGTAATTAAAAAAAAATGTGGACTACATTTAATATTGCTGAGTGTCAATAATCTGAGCTGTTTCAGCTTTATTGCAGGAAAGCTGTATTTTAAGGTGTCATTTTGGCAGTAAATGGTGTCTTTGACGCTTTACGAATGTTTTAGGACCAATATTGGTGCTGAAATGTGGGAAAAGTCTTTCGTAAGTCACTTCACCCAATTCAAAGTGTGCTGTCAGGAGCACATGTCTAAAAGGGATTTAATTAAAAACTCTGGACCGTGCTGTGAGTCAGTCATTTGCAGCTAATTTGAATCCTCTCACCTTCATCCTCTGAGATGAATATCTGCCAAAGATGTTCTTAGAAGAAGCCTCAGTTCCCTTCAGTATCTCCACTATTCTCCGGCAGTGAAAGTAGTGGATGTCTGTCAAGTAAAACAACAAAGATATCAATTTGTAAATATTCACACAGAGGATGAAAAAGACAGACGGCTTCTACATTACATAAGAATAGCTGCCACAGGAAGTCAGCTCTCCTCCAAGTGCTTATAAAACAACAAAGATCAGCTTGAAAATTAAGAATGACTATTTCTGCAAGTCATCGACGTGCAAAAAAAAGACCCCTGCACTGCAAATAATATTTTTTTTTGCATTTTCAGAACCCGTGACGCTACTCCCTCAACCAAGCGAAGATGGTAGCTGGAAATGACATAACGTGCATGCACTGATAACACATGAGAGGTGCAATCCAGCAGTATATAGAGAACCTACAGGAGCCGGAGAGAAGCTGCTTGATCTCCTCGTTTTCTGGCATGTCCTGGATGGCAGCGTTGATCTTCTCTCGGATTCCTTTTATTGCACTTTGCCATTTCAGGTTACAGTGACGTCGATCCAGCAGCCAGTCTGTGACCGCAAAATAATGATTTACCAGCATTATTATTGGTGGATCTGCCGACATTTTTTTGCAGGTACAGAAAGAAGTGAGTACACCCTAGTTCAATATCGCTTTGGTGGCAAATGCTTCTAAACTGTATCGCCTTACAGTAATCGCATCACACTTAATCTGACAGTTTAGATTTACTATATTAAAAATACTGGGATGGTGGACAATACATTTCTGCAGAGATGTTCATCAGTCTGCAAAAATGTGGCGCTGCTCTTTGCCAGAGGCATTGTGTTGCTCTACTTTTCTCTTTAAAATACCCCAAAAGTGTTCTATTGGATTTAAGTCCAGCAACTTACCGGTTCATAGCTTTCACTTTTCTTCATTATAAAATCTGTGATTTTGGCAATTATAATGCAGTTTTGAGGTGATTACGCTGGAATATTGCTCCTTTGCCAAACCTCTGCTGACTGGGAGTCGTCTTGTCAGCCAGTATTTTGATAAATCCACAGACATTCATGGTGCCATCGAGAAATATCATCTCCCTAAATCTCCATATCATTACACTCTCACTTCCGTGCTTCACTGTTGGGACTGTGCAAGATTTAATATTCCTTTTGTTGAAGTATTGCAGTTATGAAGGGGCGATGCAGTTTTTGAATCATTTGACATTTAGGTGATATTGCACAGAGGTGTATTCATTTCTGTTGTACGTAATACAAATCACACAGGATAGTAACAGCTGGTTAAAGGTCTGTTGGAGACAAAACATAGTTACACACAGACAGACACAAACCCATTTTAAATATGTGCGTTTTGTCTTACCTAAAAGCTTGCTGGTCTGGATGTCGATGGGAAGATTTTGAATATTCTGTTGAAGAGAGAAAAACAGTCAGCACAGTTTACACACCTTCACTCTTTTTGGAGCAGTTCCGTGCACCAGCAGAAAATCTTAAATTAATTTGAGAATTATAACGTTAACAGATAAATAATAAAAGGACAAACGGTTCTGCTTGTTTACGAAAGCTTTAAGAAAAGTGTTTCTGTCTTAGTTAGCTGGACTTTGACTGTGTGACAGCTAGGCTAACGTTAGCTCCCAGGCTAGTTTTCTAAAAATCGAACGACGGAAAAGTGTTCTAACTTACCTCCATTGTTTCTCCACTTTTTTAGACGCTTTCTAGATTTTACGGCTTCATTATAGCGTTTTTTTTCAAGATGTGAATTGAGGATTTCTGTCACTATCCGGATTCTACTGTTTATGACACGTTACGAGTAGCACAGCCAATAGAAGGAGGCGATGTTACGTTGACGGAAACGACTGACCAATGAAAGTTTAGTATGCTGAGCGCTGCAGCTGATTGGGTGAATGGCTTGGATTGTGATTGATGCAGTTACTGAAAGAGTCACTAGAGGGCGGTGCTGCACCTTAACCGGCTCAACACTTTCTGTTGTTTTGGTCTCATTTTACACAGATTTTGATGTAATAATAATAATAATAATAATAATAATAATAATAATAATAATAATAATAATAATAATAACTTTATTTACATAAGGCCTTTCAATAACAAAGTTTCAAAGTGCTTTACAATAACGCCAAATGCCAAATTAGACAAATAATGAAACTATTTTTAAAAAGCAAAAACATATGATTTATGTACTTTATTTCATATTTTTATCCACTGTGATTGTCCTTGTAATGTTTGCATTATGTCTCTCAAACCCTGGATATTTTAGATGTCAGTTAACAATTTTATATCTGTATTTCAGAATTATAATGTTATATTACTACACCTTTGCGTATATTAAATTCATTAATTATCTATTTATACAGCAGCCTGTACTTATGGGTGTCCAATGGAAAACACTCAAAACTATTTGTGAACTGTTTAGATACTGCTGAAAGCTATACATTCTCCATAAGTTTAAAAAAACAAAACAAAACAAAAAAAAAAGTCCTTTGTTTGGGATTATATTTTAATTCAAACCAATTCAGTAATATATACGTAGCCCCAGTTCTAACATAAGTAATCCCAGCACACTTCAGTATTGTGTCATAGAGAGAAACACAACAAAGCCAACAAATCCCTTTGAACAACCTCTTGATGGCACTTTTGCTTCGGTAAAAGCACTTGGCATTAGATCATTAATATTGATGCATTAATGTGTCACAATTTACTGTTACTGTTGGTTGATGTGGAGCTAGTTATAGCAACTTTAAACACAACAGGTGGCACAAAGATACTATTTTAAGGTGTAAAAATGTGCATGTCATATGTTTTAAAGTAAAATCTATGTGAAAAGGGTTGAACTGCTGTTGTCTGATACATTTAGTGGAATATAAAATACGGTATTTTATTCCAAAATGTGGTAAAGTAGTTGTAAAAAAAGTTGCACAAAACTGCATCAAGTGTTCATATAAGCAAATTTTTGTTTTATAAAAAAGCTGTCACGAAAACTGCAGCAATGACACATCACTTGAGCACTTTGTGAACTCCAAGCTGGACAGAAACGGAAGGCATTAAATCCCTGCATGCGTCTGCAGCAGCAGCAGTGGCCTAATTTCATGTCATTTGAATGGTGACCAAACTTGCAAAGTAAGCATCCATTCACTGTCTGTCATTTTACACAACCCATGCAAAACAACCCTCTGCCTCTCTCTCTCCAGCTTAAAGTAATCACACTGACTTGTGTTAGCAGCAACGGGAAAATTCAGACACAAAGGTGACTTTATTCTGCGTCCAAATTCCACATTAAAACAATACTTAAAGTGAAACTGATAAAGGGTTTTTATTTGCAGTTTGGAGAGCCGCTCACCTCTCAAGTTCACATTAACCCTGATGTCAGTAATCCTGATATGCAGGCCTGAAGAAAGGTCTCACTAAATCACATGGTTGCAGCATTTACTCAGCCGTGCACTTAGCTGGGCGGGCATTAGGTGTGTGTGTGTTTGAGGAGGGTGTGTGCGACGGGAGTGGAGCTCAGAGGGACGAAGCAACAGGGAGAGATGCTGCACCTGTGCACGATCACCTGAGCACCAAGAGGAAGAAGCAAAGCAAAGCAGAGACTGAGGAGGCGCAGAGTCTGTCAGCATGGTGGGACAGTTTCACATGTGAGAGGAATCAACTGCAGCCGGCTCATCGTCAACAAGGTGAGAACACAGAAAGTCATGTCTCTAATGAAGTGCACGTTTGCTAAAATGGAACGGATCAGACTTTGATAGAACTAGATTAATAAAGTCCGGGGCCTGTTTCCTCTGTTGTACCTGGTGTATCCACAGTTCAGTAACCTTTATTGAGATGTTAGAGCTGCCATCTTGTATTTACATTGTTGAATAATTTCCAAGGAGAAATTGGAAAGCAGAAAATGCCAAACGTTTGAAGGTTTCAGCTTCTCAAATGTGAGAATTAGCCACTTTTCCTCATCTTATATCACAGTAAATATAAAATTTTTGAGGGACAAAATAAACATTTAAAGATGTCAAACATTTCCTGTTTTTAGCTTCTTAAATGTCAGAATTTGCTTTCTTTCTTTCATCCTCCTGTTATGATGATCTCATGTGCTGCTAAATTTAATATTGTGAAGTTTTTGAGGGACAAAATTAACATTTGAACACAGCAACTTGATCAACTGCAGAATCTTATCAGTCACATAATGGCAAAGAAGAAGTTTTCAAGCTCAAAAATGCCAAACATTAGATGCTTTTAGCGAGTAAACTGAGCATTTGGAAGTTTTCAAGGGAGAAAATAAACATTTGAACACATCAGCCTAGACAAGCACTATGTTTCAACAGGTGAGTAATGACAAAGGTGAAAGGTTTGAGCAAAAACAAAAAAGGCCCATATTTGATGTTTTCTGCTTCTCAAAAGTTAGAATAAGCTGCTTTTCCTTATCTTATGTAATAGTGAATTAGTTTCTGAGGGACAATATAAACATTTGAACACATCAACTTGGGCAAGCACCGTGTTTCAACAGTGGAATAAGGACAAAGGACAAATGTTTAAGCAAAAAAACGTCTGATGTTTGATGGTTTCAGCTTCTCAAGTGTGAGAATTTGTGGCATTTTCTCATCTTATGTGATAATAAACTGAACACTTTAGAGTTTTGCTCAACAAAATAAACATTTGAAGACATCAGTTTCAGCAACCGTGACAGGTACTGTGTTTTAACAGTCGAATAATGACGAGGGACAAACTTCAAGCAAAAAAAATGTCAAACATTTGATGGTTTCACCTTCTCTAATGTAAGACTTTGCTGCGTTTTATCATCTTATTCAGCAGTAAACTGAATATTTTGGAGTTTTGTTTTAAGACATCAACTTGTGTTTTAATGGCCAATTAAAAGTTAAGGTAATATTTTTAAGCAAAAAGTTTTTTATTTGAGCTTCCCAAATTAGACACTTTGCTGTTTGTTTCACGTTATGTTGGAGAAAAATTAAAATTGTGGCAATTTTTGACATACAAATGGGAAAGCATCAACTTGGGCTGTTGGAAATGTCTGACAGCAGACGAATAGATTCATATGATCGAACACGATGCTACAGTTCATGCTGCAGATACGTTTTTCTTCAGTAACGTGTCTGTGTCATATTAATTCACGAGCTGAATCATAAACGTAACACAGTAATTCGCATTTTTAGACTTTGGCAACCAGCTGAACCCAGAAATGGCAACAAAACAAACAATAAAACCATTTCAGACACTCTGATTGGTGCAAATTAACTTTATTACAAACATCAGGAAAAGGACACCCAAAGGTTCCTCATAAGCTCCTTCAACTTTGCTATTGCGGGTCAAACAATGAGTCTGGCACGAGGGAGGAAACCTGAGAATCTCATGAACCTTCAGCCTCGTCGGTGCCCTTGGAGCCTCCTCTTTCTTTCCCTCGGCAGCTCAAACATTATGCTGCTGAAAGGCTTCGCAGCTGGTTAGTGATTTCCGAACGGCGTTCCCCTTCCTCCTGTGATCTCCGAGGCTCACCCACACATGACAGAACACACGGTAACTTATTAAAAAGAACTATGGAGGGCCTCCTTTATGTCAACAGCAGTTTTTGTCTCAAAGGTCACATCTAAGTCAAACATGGCACACGAAAAGATTTATGTGTGCACAGTGTACTCGGATTCAACGTGGTGTGAAAGTGCTGCCCGGTTGTTTTGTTCTGCAGAAACTGCTCGATGAAGAGTCAACAATAGCATGCAAATGTTCTGTAAATGTTTGTAAAAGAGCAACCTGTCTTTTGTTCAGAAATAAACACATCCGTTTGCTGGAGGAAAAAGGGAATTGGAATCTAAAATCTGACCAAAGTGACGTTATGAACACCCTGGACGACACAGCAGCTCATAAAAGCTCCTCTTGGTCAGCAGCTATCTGTCACCTGAGTGCTGGTAAACGAGCAGCTCAGAAATAAGTGTAATTAGGCAGCACAGGGTCATAGAAAAAAGGCTGTTATTTAAAATACATGTCTCTGAGTATCATATATCACAAGTTTAAAGTTAATATTCAAACCATAAAAGAACACTGAATCAAAAATTCTTTCCCAAACCATGTTTTAAACCTTTGCTCTGCATGCCAGGCGCCTGACGTCACGTGATAAGAGCAAGACGAGCGTTTCTGCAAAGGGCACGGACTCTTTATTTGCATAGGCGCTACATGATAAAATGACCACACCAAAGGAGGATTAGTGAGCTTCTCTGCTTCCTGTCAGCCCTCATAAAAAACAGACGTCTCTCTCATAAAATCTGAATGCTGAACTTTATCCAAATGCTATTTAGGTTTCATTTGCGGATCAAAGTTTGGAATTTGTTCAGGTTGTAAAAGTTTGATGCAGTTAGAAGATAAAAAAACATGTGACGCCTTATGCAAAAGTGAGTAAGTATAAGCAGTATTATATATTTAACCATCTATCTAGTGATGTAGTTGATAGAACTTCATGTGCTTTTGCATATAATAGTGATTTATTAATGTTATTAAGCTTCAATCAGTAGTTTAGTTATTACAAAGTACAAAGGTGGACTACAAGTACAATGGATTTTTAAAAATAATATACGTTAATTAAACATAAATACCTTAAAACTGGATTTACGTGCAGTATTTTAGTAAATCTGGGACTAATTACATCCACAGCTACACTAAACAGCACAGTTTTAATGTTGAACTTTGCTTTATTAGTGGTGTTGATGAAATTTTATAATAATAAAAAGATGCTTTGGCCACTATTAAGCCTCAAATTACTATATTATTTAATATTTTTATTTCAGTATACTACTCTAAAGTTTATTCTTAAAGGATTTTGGCATGTTTTGTGGATGTATGAGTGACATGCAGCAAATGTCTGGATTATTTTTTGATATTGACAAATTGTTTCATCTATAATTAGTATAAAAAAGCATAAAAAGGCAAAAAACAATATCCATCTAATTATGCCAGAGTTGACGGTGACTTCACTAAATGTCTTATTTTATTTGACCAACGGTGCAAAACCTCAAAATATTCCGTTTACTGCAATGAAAAACCAAGAAAAGCTGCAAAATCTTCCATTTGTGGATCTGGACCTGTCAGTATTTTGCCATTTTTACTTAGAAATCGACTAAAATGATCAATCAGGTGTCAAAATAGCTGCAGATTATTATTTTTTTATTATGATCACTTCAGCTCTGGCATGACCTTTAACCTCTTAAGCTAACTTTGTGACATTTCTGCCTGAAAAAACATCACCACTCCATGACTGTTAGGCCAAAGTTCACAATTTTAAGCTAAATGAATAACAAATACAATAAGATTTAAGTGAGATTTAGGGGAAAAAACAGTAAAAGGTGCCATTTTTACTTCCACCTAATCAAAACTGTGAATCATAGCAGCTTTATGAAAAGCACTGATGCAATATAAGCTGCTTTAAACACTCAGAACTGCATCTCTACCGAATTTAATTAGAACAGAAATGCAGCATAAGAAAAGTTACACCCATTTCAATCATAATGGTACCAGGCGGCCTTTGCGCTGAGCGTGCAACCCTCTCCTACTAAAGAAGAGAAATGGACTGTGTTTTGGTTCACTGGTTATGGTTTAGTACTCAGCATTCTTCACTTTGGAAACACCAGAAGACTCTTTATTGTCACTTTATGCAACACTGGAAAAGCGTCTGTGATAAGATAACAGCAGCATGAAGAAGACACATGCGTTATACATTTATATAAATAATAGTTTAGTTAAATTCAAGGCAGAGCAGCAGTAATGTAATTTAAAATGCCACAGAAGACCTAAGAGAAGCCTAATTTAATGAAACTAAAGGAAATATTCATATTTTCTGAGACACAAATGAATAAATTAGCAACAAAACATGTTTCCTCCATGCAATAAAGATTCCCAGATGGAATTATGTAAGACATTGCACGAACAGCTTTCTCTGAATTGATTTTGGTCCATTTCATGTGATGCAACAACTGTCGGCATCAACGACTGAGTCAACATTTGTGTCATAAGGAAGTTATTTAAGCAGCGTGGTTACCAGGAGCTGCTGTATCGGTGTGAATCCGTGCAGTTAATGTAGCTGGAGTCATATAAACAGACTATTCAGAGGCCTCGTCATAACTCCATAAAACAAGTTTCTGAGCTCCTGCTTCAGCATTAAGACAACAGCTCGTTTCCTCATCAGTCAAAAGCCGTTTCTTTTTTTTTTCTGACTCCATATCAGATCACATAGAAGTGACAGATGATCCTGTCCAGATGATCATTAATTTATCAGCTCAGAGCAGAGTGTCAGGTGTTTCCCCCATTAGGTTACACCTCCTAATCACAGAGATGTGCTGCAGGTGGAAGGAGACGACCGCAGTTACTGTCTGCTTTCCAAGAACACCACGGCACAGAGGGTTGTTTGTTCTTTCTGAACTGACTGATGAACAAAGAGAACGCAAAGTCACAGTAAAAACATGATTCAGCCTCATTCAAATTCAAATCTGTAGCAGAAATCAAGTGTAAAAGAGAAATCTACCCCTTATTTTGAAATTACACTTAAGGTTATGGTCAAGTCAAGGAAAATAATTAAAATCTTTAATTAAAGTGGTGCCACGGCTTCCTAACAAGCTGGAATATGCTAATAAGGAATAGAGAAGAAAATATCACTTTGCTAAAATGTATTTATGACAAATAAAGGCTTCTTTCCTCTTTCTTTCTTAGGTGAAATTCTCAAATATTTCCATTTGATCCTACATTTTGTTGGACAGTTTTGAGGGAAATATTGTCTTTTTATTGTTGTATATTAATTTGCAGAAGTTGTTACTAGTTATGATTAAGGTTAAATGTAACAAAACTTCTTTATATTAAACCATTTAACTGTATTTTTCTTCTATATTAAGACACGAGTAATAACGATCTAATCTAGTGGTTCTATTTTGGCATTGAAAGTCTTTAACTTGTAATGAAGTCTTTTTACAATGTGGTACTGCTATTTTTGCTCAAGTAAAATAAATGCTTCTTGTATTTAAAGATGATTTACCAGCCCTGTTAAAATTGACACATCATTTTTTAACAGTTCGTTTTACCAGATTGATGTAGAAGGCCCTGAAATGATGACTTTACAAAAGCTAAAAACACTTGATCATTCACTAAAAGTCCCATCTTTAGACGGACACATTATCAAAAAAAAAAAAAAAAGAAAAGAACTGACAATGCATAAGTCAACTAGCATCATTTTCTGACCCATTTGTGGCTGAGTGTCACAATAATACAGAACAAAACATGTAGAATTCTGTTTAACATGAAATACTTTGTCAAAACATGAAAAAGAAATCTTCTTTTTCTTATTTCAACTCACCCATCATCAGAGACTATTTGATCTGTTTGTCAGCATTGTAGAGTCTGAATCAATGGCATGATCAGAAATAACTGAGAAAGTTTCAGGCTTTTGTCTTTAATGGTTCCTGACATTTTATTGTTCAAATCTTGTCTCAAATTACAATGAATAAAAAACAGGCCGAAAGCGAATTGACCAGTAATGTTTTAAAGCACTTTATTTTGGAAAATATTTGAGATTTCAGACTAAAAATTCACAAATACATATAAATATGTGTAATTTTCAAAATTAAATTTCAGAAAAAACATGCAAAAAGTGATAAAAGTGCTTTATAAATATCCGTAAAATGCTTTATCAATGTGTGTATTCTATGCAGGCACATCTGAGACAGTCAAGCACAATATGTTTTAAAAATGTAATGATGAGAGATTGAATGACCCTGAGAAGAGGAGGAACCTTCTCAGTCTACAGCCTGCATTTAACAAATCTTCAGTGAAGATGTAGATGTACAGATATTGTCAGTGACTGTATGTTGTGGGTCCTGCAGGTCAGTCCTCCAGTCTCTGTCGGTGCCATGGCTGACCCAAGCTGGTGGAAGCTGACCTTCTCGCGCAAGAAGAAGTCTGAACCCAAGGTTCTGTACGAGATCCCAGCCGAGTACGGCATCAACACCGGGAACAAAGAGCACCCGAGCAGTAACCCCTCTGCAGATCACATGGACAGCCAGTTCAATGCCAGACTGGAGAAGATCGTGGATAAATCTGCCACTAAAGGTCGCCACGTCAAGGTCTCCAACTCCGGTCGCTTCAAGGAGAAGAAGAAGGTCCGAGCTACGCTGGCTGAGAACCCCAACCTGTTTGCGGAGCACAACCTCAGTGACGAGAATCACAAAAACAAGACTGACAAATAGCACACAGAATGCACATACTTGATCCTAAATGTGTCATAAATCAGTGTCACACTCATAAACGCTTTGCAGAAAGCTCAAATATATGCAAACACAACAACATTGCACTACAACTGTGTTACTATGCACCACACCCAGGCAGATACTGTATCCAACGGACTCACACCTAAAACAAACAGCTGCTATCAGCAGCAACCTTTAGACATTCACAGAAAGTCGGATCCAAACGAAGTGCTGGAGAAACGTTTCTTCAGATTTTTTACTCCAAAACTCACTTTACATTAACTTTTGTTGTTTTATGTCTTCAAAAATGATCACTGAACATGAAGGACAAGTCAAGCCTCACCTCATGCATTTATGATTGACAATAACATTTCTGTAATTTAAGTTTATATTTTTATTATTATAGATATAGTTATATTTCTCCCTTTTGTATGTCTTGCACAATCAGCACATAAGTGAAGATACGCCAGTGGAACCAAAGCACAGTAAATTTCTTACTGCATTTTTATGACCAATACAAACAGAGACTTGATTTAAATGACTGTACTGTGTCTGAACCATTGTGGTGGATAACTCACATACAGTGGCCCCAAAGAGTGTTAAGCTTATGGAGGGATCACTGAACAGGCCTGCTGGACACACGTCAGGGCCAAAGGAGTCAATGGAACCTGGTCTTATCTCAGAGTTACAAATGAAGTAACAAAAAAATGTCCACGAAGAGACAAAATGGCATCAAAGTGAAGCAAAATGTGACAAAGACCACCCCAAAGGAATGCAAAAATGACCAGAAAAATACATAGAATGGCTACAATGATGCAAGATGAAATAAAAAATGTCCCAAATGTTGCACAAATTGACCTCAGAGAGACACAGACTGGCTGCAAAGACATGCAACAGGCCATGATTAGGACCAAGTTGAATACAAATGAACCCAAAGAGACACAAAATGAAACATTAAATGACCAAAACTGGACAAAAAAGGACCAAAAAAAGATGCAAAAGGACCACAAAGAGATATAAAATGTCTACAAAGACTTCCAAAATGACTAAATGAGACACAAAATGTCCAAAATGTGATACAAAAGAGATGCAAAGCAACCAAAACAAGACACAAATTGACCTCAGAGGCATGGAATGACAAAAAAAAAAAAAAAGGCACAAACCGGCTACAAATAGATGCAAAAATGAACTAAATGAGACATAAAATGTCCCATTTGAGCTCATAGAGACACAGACTGGCTGCAGACATGCAGAACGACTGAAACCTGACAAAAAAACGACCTCAAAGAGATTCAAAGAGATGAAAAATGTCCAAAATGAGATGCACAATGCCCTAAATGCAACACAACATGTCCTCAGAAAGAGACAAACATGTTGCAAGAAGATGCAAAACGCTGAAAACGTGACACAAAACGGCCAAAGTTAAATGCAAATGAGCTCAACAAGATGCAAAACGATCAAAATGAGACATTAAAATGACCAAAACGGGACAAAACACACACAAAACAGATGCAAAATGACCACAAAGAGACACAAAATGACCAAAATTGGACAAAAAAAGAAAATGATAACAAAGACGTGTGACATGTTAGAAATCATCTACAAGGTGCACAGTGAGAAACAAACAACCATAAGTCCCTTCATTGCATGACTTCCAGTCAGATTTGTGGCCTCATTGTTTAATAATCTGTCCGTGATTAAACTACGTCTAAAAATGAATGGATTTCATTGTATTAGGCATCAAAACGTCAAAGCAAACAGCATTTATTTGAAAGAAGGAGCAACAGCAGGTGTAATTCATCACAACAATGATGCACCAACAGCTTTCCCAACCTGCCTGATTTATTTTATCAGAGCTAAAAGTGCTTTTCTCGTGTATCAAGCATCACTTTATGCAACATTTTATGTCTGACATTTAGTAGATTAGCTGCTCAAATACTTTTTGGGGCCACTGTACACGTGATAAATGAAGAAATGCTGTTTATATGATCGTCTCTGGAATCTTTTTTGTTTTAAATAAATTTCAGACGATGTTATTATGAAAGACTTCTTTGTATTTGTGCTTTTTTTTTTTTTTGAACACGTAACTGTTGGCTGGTTTGAGTGTGTTGATCTCGGTTACATCATTCTTTTTGGTTAGTGAGCTGTTTGTTATCTCACCGGTTCTGTTGACATGGCGATCGTAAGGAGACACCGACATTTGACACCCAGCGACATGTTTCTGGCTTTTATAATACACTATTCCTTGTTTTAATTTACAGACTGACTGCAAATATCATCTTGTTGTTCATAAAGTTCCTCTAGTCAGTTTAATAATTACTCTTTTTAGGATTTAATTAATGCAATTATTTTTAATCTTCAGTGTTTGCATGTGTTGAGCTGCTGACATCTGCTGGACAAACATGAACTCAGTCCTCAGTTGCAAATTAAACTTTATTTCTGGCTCTTTTGCAGAGTTAAAAATAAAAAAAAAGAACCACAATCACACTGTCAGATAGTACAAGACACACAACAGTTGGCACGGTTGTTACCACCACCAGCTCTTTTAACCTCAGCGTTAAAAGGCAGTTAGATTCACGGTTGTAGATGTAAGACGGTTCGCTGTCAGTGCAATGTGAATTATTTTCCTTTAATTTCTTACAGCTGTAAATTCACAAGATGATTTCTGGAAACTATGATAACATTTGGTGCTAATTAACAGAAAAATGGAGGCAGTGTTCTGGTGTTTAAGGTTAATTAATTCAAATTAATTGTACATTTGCACACTTGAACAGGCAAACATGTGAATTAAGTTGACAGGAATTAACAAAAGATGGAAAATATAGCTTCCAGGAGTGAAGAATTAAGGATTTAACAAATGCGTGAGAGCAATTTATTAATTTATTAAGTTCTACTTTTGCAAACTTTACAATGTTTAGCACTTGTTGTCATTGTTAGAAGCCTGTAAATTCAATTATAGTCAAAGACGGATATAATTTTGGCACATATTTCTTATTTTTTGTCATCTATTTGCACACCTCAGATTATGTTAACATTACATTACATAACCAACCATTTACTGTGTCCCCAGTGCTGTTTGAACACGTTATTGACTTTATACCTCTGTGACTGTGGCAACAAAAACCAAACATTTACAGGTAATAAACCTTCCAGCGTCATGATAGATTGTGTTTGACTGTAGAGGTGTTGCTAATGAGAAGAGAAAAAGGTTTATGTGGAGCTTTTCTTTTTAGGAAACCTCCCTGGAAGTAAATAGACTCAAGCCACCGCCTCCATTTTCGATTTAATTAGTACAAAATTACATACTGGAGTTAAAAAAATAATGAAAATAAACTGCACGAAGTTGCATCTGGAGAGAAAAATGGCAAACTTGCTCCTCACAAGGCCTGCGGATTGTGCTACTCAAGAAATAAGACACAGTTTTGTGTCCTAAAGGTCGACGACGACACTTTTTAACAGCCAGCGTTACACCGTCAATCATCATTAACCAGGACGGAGCAGGTGGAGTTTGCTCTGCTGTGTCGGTCGGTGAACTCTCAGTTTAAAATGTATGAAATAGCTGCACAGTCCGGTCCGCTTCCACGGTCAGACACACACGGTTTAGTTCAAAGACACAGAGAAATCCCACAGACAGTAGCAGCATCTATTTAACAAACATCAAAGAGTAGTTATTTCAAGTTTCTTTTTGAAATCAGTGGTAGTCATATCAGTCCTTTCCTTCCTATGACAGTCTGTTGAGGTATCGTTCAGGGAGACAGTCGCTGGTAAACCCAGCCTCCCTCTGCAGAGTGCTGAAACTCCCCCAGCTCCGACTCTCCGTCCTTGGCTCTGGTGAAGACGATGCGGTCGTGCAGCCTGTTGGTCTGACCCTGCCAGAACTCGATCAGAGAGGGCTTCACGATGTAGCCGCCCCTGGAAATGATTCAATTTTATAGTCTGAATACATTGAAAACACAATATTCTCTACAGTACTTTTTAAGACACTCGAAGTAGACAAGACCAAGAAAGGAGCTGACAGACAAAGGGATTATGAGCTGTAGTGTTAAAACAAGGCAGCCGAGTAAAATTAAAGATGTAAGAACCCAAATAGGAAACTTGGATAACAATAAAATATTAAAAAGTAGTTTAAAAATTAACAAAAAGAAAAAAAAAAGAAGATTAATTACAGCATTTTAAGTTTAAAAAACAAGAACAGCTGGAGGCAAAATAGGATGACATTAAGCTTCAGGGAGGGGTTAGAGATTATGTTATGCACATTTGTTTTCTAAGTGAGAATTAAATGAAGGGGAGATTAAACTATTTTCCACTGAAGGAACTTCTGGGTCATTTTAATGCAGACTGAACGTTTGTGCATGTTTAGACGACTGGAACCGCAGCTGTAGAACCTCTTTAAAGGCTGATTTTGGTTGAGAAAAAATCTCAACCTGTAGCTGAGAAAGTCTTTATTCTATCTTTATTTTAATTTTTTATTGTGCTTTTGTATTTCTTGTCTTGTTTCCCTGCTATGCTTCTTTTGTATCTAGCAGCTGTAATGTGAATTTCCTCAGCAAGGGATCAATAAAGCTCATCTTATCTATAACTGCTGAGCAGGTTTCTGATGCTGATTGGTTAAACTCATTTCTTTGCGTTCTCTCGATGTTCTTGTTAAGTAGCATCCTTCTTTTCTCTACATAAAATCCACCATATAACCCAACATAATGAACCTGCATTGTTTTATTTTATACTATTAGTCATTGTTTTGGTTGAAACTGTCGTATGCTGCATTGCAATGGACACATAAAGGCTTAAAGGGTCGACAACGGGGCTGTTTCTGCAGTAAAAATTCTCTTTTAGACACAATTCTGTATTGCAAAAGATGTCCGACTCTCTCCAACCGTCTGCTTTGTAACTGCAGAAGGTGGTGCATGCAGGAAATATTTAAAAAAAAGGATAAAAAGATTTTTAAAAAAGCAAGTGTTTCAAGTCAGTAGACAGTAAAAGAAATAAGAAGCAAGTGTTTTAAGTGAAATCAACAACATTTCTTATTTAAATTCAAGGGGCTATGAAAATGAAAAATGGTAATATCTAAAGTGTGCAAAGTTGTGCAAATTATTGACCCGAGAATGTGCAAGATTGCACAATATATTGTTTAAAAAAATTTGAGATGTGCAAAGTATAAATATTAATGATATTCAAAAAGCTGTGCGTGACTGAATTGCATCCAACTAATCATGCTGTTGCACTGACACAAGCTCAACGTGCAAAAGGAATAAAAACTGGTTCTCACCAGTAGTCAGGCATCGGCACCTCCGTGTCCTTGTACTTCTCCTCGAGCTCTGCGTTTTTCTGCCTCAGGTACTAAAAAGAATAGTAAAGATTTAGCCTTCAGCAGGGTTTGTGTGGCTTAGAACCTGGTTTATTTTTGGTCCCTTACGTCTCTGTTGGGAACCGGAGTGCTCTGTCGGCTCACGACAGCCCCGATCTGGCTGCTCTTTGGTCGGGAGTGGAAGTAGTCACAGGAGCTCTGGTAGGGGATTCGCTCCACGCTGCCCTCAATACGGATCTGCACAGCAACAGTACAATCAAAGCACATTCATCATGGAGAAAAAGTTAAATATTACCATTAAGAGAGAGTGTTATGGGAAGGCTATGTACCTGTCTGTTCAGGGGCTCCCAGTAGAAGACCAGGCAGGCGTACGGATTACTCTCCTGTGGATAAGAAATTCTTTATCATTCATCAAACTCACAATTTCAAACAGCAACGTCTTTATACACAAACTGCAGGAACAAACACAGGAGACAATAACAAATTGATCAAGATATTAACAAATAAGAGATGAGCAACACATCTCAATATCCAAAGAAGAAAATGGAAACATAGCTGCGAAATACAAACTAAATAATGACAATCAGAGTCATAATTAAACCAATCTGCAATAAGTTTCTTGATTAATTGACTTTTTTTGGTCCATAAAATGTCTGAAAAGTTTTAACATCACATAAGAACTTAGACGGCTGCTGAACGTGACTCACCAGCTCAGAACCTTTTCTGCTCTCGTAGTTCGAGAAGAACCGGAACCCTTCGTTGCTGTAACCTTTGAGGAGAACCATCCGAGCAGACGGACGTCCCTCCCTGAACACAGACGAGGTTCACCGTGAGAAACCGTGACAAACAAATAGATCTGCAGCACTTTTCCTCCCAGGTTCTCTGGTCACCTACTTGCTGGCAGTGGCGATGCACATGGCGTTGGCCTCTCCGATCTCAGGACACTTTGTGGCGTCATCAAACCAGTTCCCAAACTGCTTGATGGGGTCCAGAGACACGAGCTGGCTCTCCTCAAAACACTGTCAACAAAACAAGAGAAACACACATTAATGTGCTTATGTAAACTTCACAGACGCTGAAGTGAACGCCTCATTGCCTCTTTAGGATTACAGAGGAATCAGGCTGTTTCAGTGTATTTTAATTTCTTACGCAGGCTTAGATTTCTAAACAGCCTCAAAAGGCCAGAAGTCAAAGTCAAGGACTGAAACAGCTGGACAGCATGAAGACAGACACACGGTTTATCCAGATGTGTCACAAAAACAACACAGGCTGAAGTGTTTACATGCAACACTTTGTGTATGTCACCATGACCTTCCAGCTGCACAGCATGAGAACAAGTGTGAGTTATATGACCCCCTAAATTACATCCAAACGCAGGTAGCTCCAGTGTTTTCATGCCTCTCACCTCCTCATCTCCTTTGTACTTCTTCCTCATGTCACTCAGGTCCATGCTTGTTGTCTCGCCGCTCGATTTTCTGCAGGAATTCAGAGTCCAGGTCTGTCGTCCAGCTGCCACAGAAGCATGTGAGGGCAGATTGGCACCAAATAAACAGGTATTTCTCAATAAATTCGCACTGAGTATGCGCCTCATGCTTGTCAAAACGGACTCTGACGTAACTGCGCACACTCGCTTACGTAAAATATTATGCAAACGCACGATTTTTGCACCGAAACAGAGCGAAGTTTTGAGATGCAGCGCAGATTTGAATTTTTTCTTTGCATACTTACCGTTTGGCAAGGAAAAAATGTGCTGATTTGCGCACGGTAGATGCGATTTACAAGGAAAATCCAAGAAGCGATGACATCGATGATTAAAACTACACGTCGGTGCGTCATGGTGCGTTCATGAAACATCTGTTAAAAGAAGAGATGAGTGGCAAAAAGACAATTTCATTTTTACTATTACTCAACATGGAAGTTGCACAGTCTCTTATTAATTTATTTATCCAGCAAATTTCTGTAAACCACACACTCATTGTTTTCTTTTGGCCTTATGATTTGCTATTTCAAGCAATACTGCCATGTAGAAGTACATACAATCGCATGTCCAGTATAATAAACTTGTTTTTATCTAAACCTCAGTTGATTCAAATTCGGAATGGTTGCAAAAGTTATACTTTATTTCTTTATTTTATACCACAGGAGTTTTTTGGCAAACCTCAGAAAGGACCATAAATTGCTGAGTATAATTATGGTAAATTAGACTTTTGGGGTTTCACTTTCAAAAACAGAACAAACAGAATCTGACACAGAATATGTCTAAAATCAATGACCATAAAGTTAATAACATATTTCAAACATCCCCCCCCCCCAATCAAAATCTGGCAATCATTTCTTTTGCATATAACTTACTTTTTTGGGCCGTTGACTTGTCCTGACAAAAACTCTGCATTTAAAGTTTCCTTTCTGAAATCTAAGGAGGCAATATTACAGTCACTGCTGTACCTGGAGATTCTACTTGGGGAAATTCAAGGTGTCCAGTAGTTCACACATATATTATGTAAGGAATGTAAGGAAAATGAAAAAAATGAGGTGCAAATTGTGCTGGTGGAAGAGCCAAGTTAAGGTGCAAAACAACAACAACAGCAAAAAAAAACAAACAAACAATGATGCTAGCAGAGTTTAAAAAAGTATTTAATTTAATTTAATTACATTCTCTCATTATTAGCTATAGTTTGTATTTAGTGATAATTTGCACTTGTTTTACCAGTTTAACTGTCTACAACCGGGTAAAATATCTAATTTAAGGTTGAAACCGATTTTTTTGTTTTTCCGGTCAGGTCAGTAAAGGCATCATGCGTACCGTCGTCACGTCCGGTGTCAAGTTTTTCCTGTTAAAGATGGCGGCGACCTTGTGTGGAAAGTTGCTACCTAAACAGGGTAATGTACCTCTTATGCTGCATTTCTGACGTTAATTTAACAACTGTGGCGGGTTAATTTGTTGTATATTTTTCTTCAGCTAGCTGCTGTTAGCTGTGTTAGCCACGCTTCGATTAAACTGCTGGTTAGATTTCAGTTAGCTAGCATCTGTTAGCTTAGCATCCTGTCATTCAGAGCCGGTGCAGTAGATGTTTAACCGACTCTGTTTTCTTTCAGGTTGGCTGCCGCTGATACAGAGTGTCCGTCACGGCTCCAAGGCGGTGACTCGACACAGAAAACCCCTTCACTTCCTCAAACAGAAGCTGCTCGCTGTTACTCGATATGTTCCTCCTAAACCGGTCGTTCCCAAAGGCGCATATCCGGCTGAAAAACAACAAGTCCAGAAGGTAACACACCTCAATCCATCCATCCATCCATCCATCCATTCATTCTCCTCATCCTTCCACTGAAATTCTTGATTTGTTGATTTGGAGGCCTGGAGCTTGTTTCTGTATCTACAGAGCTGCAGCGGTGGGACAAGTAGTCAGATATTTTATTAAAATGTCAATGCAGAAGTGTGAAATATTTAAAATCAAAGTTTGCTCATAGGAGATCCAGGGAATTCCTGGATTTGTTGATGTGGTGGAGTTCTAATTTGACTCCCTGAATTTCCCTGTTACTAACACCAAATGAGCCTTACATATTTGAAAGAGAGAGAAAAAAATAGCAGTCTCTGTGATCTTAAGATACAACTTTATTAATCCTAAAGGAAATTATTGTGACAGATATTACTCAGAAAAAAACTCCAAATGATGTTTACATAAAAAAATGCACAGCCTGCATGGAAAAGCAATAAAATATAACCATGATACATTACTGAAATAAATTTAGTAAGTTCAAATCAGGCAGTAAAAAGTAGTGCTGACAATGATACTGAAGTTATCAGTAATATCACACATGATAATGAAATATTGCACTTATAAAATAAGATGAAATTAAAATATTGCCCAGTACACTGAAAATGCTGTACATGACAGTGAAATATTACACACGTAATCAAATGATGTTGTTACACATCATAATAAAATATTTCACAAGAAAAAAAAATACGAAATGATAAATATTGCTCATGATACTGAAGCTGATATTACACAAACAATTGAGAGGAGTAATGCTGCAAATTACACTGATAATATTGTTCATATCAAAGTGTACGATCTTCACTCGTAGGTTCATTGTGTGTCACACAGTGTCAGTGACAACAAACCAAGCTGGTCTTGAGGTAAACTGAAGTTGTCACAGAAAGCATCAACTTAAATATGAGTCTTTATCGTGCCCAACAGTTTCCCCAAAGACTGATTATCGCTTGATTCTCACCTCCTGTCATGAGCTGCATCAATACATTATGTGTGATCATCTTTGCAGGATTTATTTATTTTAACATTCAAACCCTGTACGAGCTTTGTTTTTGGTGCATTTTGTGATCTGAATGATCACAAGATGTTCATCTGGTTGATGTAATTCTCATAATCTCCTTAAGTTCACGAGTGTCTGTGTGAAATCTGTCAAAGCCGTGCACATCCAGCCCAAAATTTCTGTCTGCATGACGACTGGAAATATATGTTTAGCAGAAGTGTGCATCTGCATAACACATAGACACAACTTCCTGGCTATGTATGGGATGGAGTCCTCCAACCGGCCTTCAGCAGACTGGACAGTAACATAACAACAACAACAAATGTTACTGTGTGTGCATCTGCTGGAGAGGATAATCAAAGCTCAAGCCTATGTAGTGTAGTTGCTGTACGTACACAAGTTTTAGGTTGCACAGACTCTCTGGGACTTGGAGAGATGGTAAAACTTACAGCACACAGATCCTTATGTTCTTACAGATGTGGAAAGTGTAACATTGACCTTCCTGTCATGTGTAGTCACCTTTTTAAAGACCCTTCCTAAGCAAGAAAAATCCCTGAATTACTTTATAGACTGCATGGAAAGCATGAGAATCCCCCAGGCCCTGTAAAGGACGAGGCTTATTTTCTGTGTTAGCGTTCCGTTTACTTAAGTTAATGATCTGAAAACTTCTCCCACCACGAATAACATCATCATTGTGAACTGAATAAACATTACAGGTGATGTTGGATCACATTAAGAGTCCTTTTTTTTGTTGCCTGTTTTAAACCAAAGACTTGCATCTTCACTCTGAGACAATCTCCTCTGTTTTCTTCTGTCAGGATTCTGATTTCGTGTTAATCCTGAAGAGGGATTTGAAGAAGCTGTTCCAGGAGTGTAAAATGATCGCAGTGGTACACAACAGCAACAGCACCGTCGAAGAAATGATTAATCTCAAGTACAAACTTTACAAACATGGCATCACTGTCAAGTTCTTCCCCAATCAGGTAACCGATATTACTCAACATGCACATTTATTTGATTATCTGAGTGGCTCAGCCTCAGATGTTTTTTCTGAAATGTGAAAGTACCAGAGAAGAACTCATCCCACTTCCCTCATGTTTAGTTGATAAAGCCGTACTGGTGTGCATGGCAACAGCTTGATCTTAGACTCTGGTACCGACAGGGAAAGTAACACTAAATCAGTTGTTGCTTTCTACACATAGTTTTAAATGACAAAAATCCAGGCATTTCATTTTAGCTGTGTAGGGAAAGTAGAAATGATTTAAGTCTTATACACTGTAAAATCACATTTTTTGCAGGCTGCTGTCTCCTCTGCTGAACTGACGCTGTGAAACAAAGCAACACCTCTGCAGCTTTTTTAGACTGGTCACATTACACATCCTGCTATCTGGTCTCAACTCATTTGCGATTATTTCCTTCCAGGTGATGCGGTCATTTCTGAGTGACAGTGTTCACTCCAACATGGCTCCTCTGATTGTCGGTCCAACAGTTCTGTTCGTCAGTAAAGAACCGAAGGCGAAGGAGATGCTGAGGACTCTGAGGTCCAGTCCACAGATGACACTCCTGGGTACGTTGATTGTGCTCTTACAAGCAGCAACTGTATTACACTGCCTCAGAAATCCTAGACTGTATGTAAAGATGAACACATTATAGCGCTCTAGAAGTGAAGCCAACATGTGGAGGAAGTAGGTGCTGTGTTTAGTAGAGCAAATACAATCTGAGGGTGGTATTGATGTCCTGCTCCTTCTAGCTAGCTAGTTACTAATCATTTTTATCAAGAAAATGTTAAGCTTACAGCGAGCATCAGCAGCAGCTCAGCTACATGAAGCTCAAGAGGCGTGTGCTGACATTTGGGCAAATTTGCGATCAAAAACAGAACACGTCAAAGTAGCAACCTCTGGGTGTGAAAAAAGGAAACCATGTGGAAATGCTGAAAGGTGTTTTTCCTCAAATGCCCACTTGAGGCTGACTCTCGTACACTCTCATGTTAAAGTGTCAGAAAATAAACGCGGTTGCAGCCTGGTACAAAAATGTTTTTTGTCTAGAGAATTTCCATGATCATGACAACTGTACAGTAAGATAATTTTATTTAACTCACCAGTTTAAATTGTATTAAGGCAGAAAGTGGTGCATAATCACGGGTGTGGTTGCTCTGAGTGAAAGGTGGATGCTCCTGTCATGCATCATCTCTTTGCTCAATTTTGGATCAGCCGAGAATTCGGAGGAGTCAGGCCAAGGTGGCAATGGCCAAAGCGACCACACTGAGCTTCAAAGCCGTTATTCAGAACATCTCTGGGAGATGTTTTGGAGGTGTTCTCCATCTATGTTTATAGTCTACGGACAAACTACTTCTTTAGGTTTGTTGCAAATGAGCCTCCGACTGTCTGAATTCACGTTTTTGTCGTCGGTATGCTGCAGCATCAAAATGGAAATGCTGCTTACTAGTGGTGTGACTCCTTATTTTGCTCATGATTCCAGCATGTAAAAATGACCATATGGACATGTTAACTAGATAGAAAAACAACAGCTTGATATTCACTGGAGTCTTTAAAGAGTAGTTTCTTCAAGTCTCCTCCTCTCTTTTAAAGCCACCCTTCTTTATTCCTGAAAACATTTGCTGAATGGTGTATTTGAGAGGACTGTGCGACATGTTTTTGATTTTGCGTGAGTTCTCAAAACAGTGAATGGCAGTTTTCCTTAAAGTGTCCTCAAGGATTTCTGGATTATCATGCTACCTCATTGTCTCTGTACATTAGATTAGATAGCAAGAATAGACTTAATCATTGTAGAAGTAGAGGAAATCCAACATGTGTGTGAATCTTTTTGCAACGCATCTTCAATGAGGGCAGCTCCTCTTGCTTGATATTTATTAATGTCACAGAGAAGCTTATTTACCAGAATGTGATGAAGGCCTTTAACTGCTCGTCCGTCTACAGGAGCCTGCATAGACGACACGCTGCTGAGCGCGCAGGGCGTCGTAAACTACTCCAAGCTGCCGTCGGTGTCCGTGGTCCAGGGTGAGCTGGTCAGCGGACTGACCATGATGACCTCCCACACAGCCTCCATGCTGCAGCGCCACCCGGCCCACCTGTCCGCCCTGCTGCAGCAGTACGTCAAGCAGAACAGCTCGGAGGAAGCTCCCAAAGCAGAGGAGGCCACGTAGACCTGCAGACAAAGTTACCTGAACTGTTGACTTGCTGATTTTACAGCCGTGTGGAAAAATTCTGCACCAGGAAGACTTTTGAGATTGGGAAAAAGTCGGCAAAGAAGAAGCTCAACCTTTAGCTTTGGCTGATTGAATGCACCTCTGGCTCCCGGTGGAATTACTGAATGGACAATGCTGCAAAAATTTCAGTTTCACCCTTTGTGCTTCCTTATTTTAAGGATATAGTCACATGTTAATAAATAACATCTACTCTATTTGTGGCTCAGGTTTGCAGTTTTTTTTTTTCAAATTAAAGAAATTTTCTGACTCCTTTAAATGTTGACTGTTGAAGGATTTATGCAAAAAACAATGTTCGTCTTCATCATGTCTTTATTGTAACACAAATGAAAACAGACTGTTCAGCGCAGACGTATCCTCTGGTGTCAGATATTGTTGCTGTAACACATAAGTGGCATCATAAAAAAAAAAAACAACCCAAAACTGCTCCAGCCAAAATAAACATGAGTGGTCACAGATCCTGATACGTTAATCTGCAGATTACAGCATGTTAATCTGGGTCAGTTAGTCTATTATGGCCTGCTTTTCTGAGGGAGACACACAGGCGCTCACTCCAACACTGCACACGTCTGCAAACATTACAATTTTAAATAATTTATGATTCAAAAAGCCAAAGTAAAGCTGCAGAGCATGACTGGATTTGCAGTAAAATAACTAAACTTGCTTTGATTTATTATAAAATGACAGCAGCTGCACACCAGGATGACTCTCCTGCATCGTGTAGTAACTATACACTGGCAAACAACAGGTAAATTATAACTTGCAGGCAGTAATCAACAAATAAGGAGCATAAAGCGGCAGATGCTTGTGTTTTGCGTAACATTTCTGTCATATACTTCCGACACTTGACCCAGAGAAGACCTTGTTGCTAAATTTAACAATTTGGTGAGTGTTCAGCTCGCAGCCTTTGCTTTGTTCTTTAAACAAACTGAGTGTGCAGAGAGAGAGAGAAAGAGAGAGAGGAGCCTGCTAGATTTGCCCTCCACCACATCCCAGCTAGACACTCCGCTGTAATTCCAGCTAATGCGGATAATGCCCAGGACACATTGCGCACGGTGCGCGCTGCCGGCGACGCGCAGCCCTCCTTGGATTTGGAGGCGGCTCGTTGCACCCACCGGCGCAGAGGGCACCACCGCTGAGATTATGTGGTCAGAGTTAGTGCTTATCTACGGATAGAACATGTAGTTTGACTTTTTTTTTCGAACGAGGAAAACGTCTTCTCATCCGAGATGGTGGTTTTTCACAGATTCGTAAACGCCAAATGAGACCTTTGTTGGATTAATTTAGAGGACGGCAGCAGATGATGAGAGTCGAGGGTGAATTTCAGGTAAGATTTTACAGTTTTTTCCCCCTTATGAATTAAGAAAACACGGCACAAACAATTAAAATTTGTCGCCTTGAGCTGTTTTGGAAACACCGAAGAACAAAAACCAGGACATTCTTGGCTCTTTTACGCACCATAATCTCCGCCGTGAATGCGTCATGGCCACCTGTTCCTAATGGCACAATCCCATGTTTAAAAAACGTTTGGCTGAAAGGTGCAAAACTTTGAATTCTTTGTGTTTGTAACATTTCAAAAGGTTTTTAGATCAGCGTCTGTGGAGCCTTGATTAGTTCACAGAGGCCAAAAAGGACATTGTGCGCCTAAAGAAGCAACATCAGTTTGATTGATTATAAAGGAGTATGACAACTAAAATATATCAGTGCAGCTGTTTTACTCTATTCTGCTGTCTCCTCTGCTTTTGGAATACAAACAGTGCTCAGAATGTATGTGGAGAATCATTACTAAGTCTCACTGTTTGTCCTATAAAAGGAGTAATACTGAGAATTCCAGACTCATTCATGAAAACAGTGTCCTCCCCTGGCACAGCTGATCTCTGTGTTAGTGGACACAGTTTTTTATTCCAGAAAACAGATTATTACTCCCATAATCTGTGCATCTTAACCCCATCCTCTGGCACGATGCTGTCCTCTCCTTGGATGACTTGTTTTTGTTGCCCATCATTTGAATATTGAGCTCATGAAGTCACTCATCCATCTGAATACACGCTGTCCCATCTGTGCTGAGAGGAACGTTTTGTCAGTTTTAGTTCTTTATTGTATCTTAAAGCTGATTTGAATAAATTAAAATGTGATTGATTTACATTTCCTGACAGAAAGCACCCTCAGAGCGATGATATTTATGCTGTAAATATTAGTTTGTCAATAACAAACACTGCAAAAGTCAGCTACAGTGTCTTTGTTTTAATGTTTTTGCAGAAGTTTCACATCTAAAATAAGCATTTTCAAAATCTTTCTTAAATGTAGAATATTCTGTCTGTTCCTTCCTCCCTGAGTAAGCAAGCTCAGAAACCAGCAAATCCTTTCATCCTGTTTCCGCCACATGCTTTCATTACTGAGGTCAGTTACTCTCATCCTTTCCTGGCCTTACGTAACAGCAAGACAGGCTGCTTCTGGACAGATTTAGACATTTAGACGTCAGATTGAAAGCAGCGAAGCACCGTTTTTGTGTTTACACTCTCCCTGTTATACACGGAAAAATGCAAAAATATGCTTGTAGCTCCAGACGATGCTGCGTCAAGTCAGTCTGGCTGAAAGATTTAAGTCATATTCTCACACCTAAGCATTGATTCTGCAGACTGATACCTTTACAAATATGGAATGTTCACTGGTTTTTGTGTTAGAATACAGGTAAAAAAATTACAAAACCTAAACATAGCCTTCATTTTTTGAGTCAATGAAGTTGTAGACTCACAAAATAAATGCAAATGCACACAAAAGTGTCCCAAATTCATGTCCTGCAAAGCCTACAAGAGACAAAAGTCTTGTTTTCTCCATGCAAATACAGTCATTATCTCAAAAACAACATTTCTTTCATGTGTAAAAAGGGTGTTTTGGTAGTTTTTCACCTCTTTTTCTGTAAAAACATTGAGCATATTTTTTGTTTTTATGCATGTAAAGCCCTTTCTAAGTGCTACATAAATACAATATGTTGTTATGTTTTGGTGAACTGGTGATGTTAAAGTACTCCGCTGAGAATCTGTGAAACAAACGTACACTTTTCAATGCGCTGTCCTGCGTTGTGTTGTGTTTGTGGCCTTTTCAATGTTGTGTCAGTGCTCTCTGCTCTCAGATCAACTTACTTCACGTCCAAGTTGCTTCACGTTGCTAAAAACGTCTCCTGAAAAACCAATTACGCAGAGGTTAATCCCCCTCGCTGCAGGAGGTACTGGCCATGGTGTCACATACAGGGCTGGATTACCGAGCGGGTGAACTGCCCCGAGGCCCCCAAAGCCTTGGGTTCATCCACCTTTACTGGTTCTGGCAATTTAATTAGCTACAAATGTGCTAAGTTAGCTGTTCGCTATCGACTGAGGCGAGTCCCGCATTAATTAAGTTAAATCTCTGGGCACCCTGTGAGTCAAAGCTTTTCTAAAACTTTATATGTCTCAAGTTGTGATTAATGATCACACATTGTTTGGCAGCAGGGTTTATTTTTGAGAGTGAGCTCTTGTAAAGTCTGTGCAAATCATACTATTTTGTGTTATAAAAACAGTTTTTACTAAAACTATGAGCCCTATTTTGAATATTTACATTAATGCTGCAATTTGCAGTCATTTTCTTGTCAATTAATCTGTAAATTATTAATAGTTTGATCTATCAAATGCCAGAAAAGCCTTAAAATACCACTGACACCAGAGAATTTATGATAGTTTAAAATATGTACATGCTTGGTTTTGTTTTCTCAACCTTTTACGTTTACAGTTTGTTTATGTCTGAAACAAGTTGAACCATAACTATGAACTGTATCACACAAATTTTGTTTTTTCAGGAGACATTTTTAGGAGTGCAAAACAACTTGGACGTGAAGTAAGTTGATCTCAGAGCAGAGAGCACTGACACAACATTGAAAAGGCCACAAACACAACACAACACAGGACAGCGCATTGAAAAGTGTACGTTTGTTTCACAGATTCTCAACGGAGTACTTCAAAATCACCAGTTCACCAAAACATAACAACATATTGTATTTATGTAGCACTTAGAAAGGGCTTTACATGCATAAAAACAAAAAAAATATGCTCAATGTTTTCACACAAATTTGCTTTTAAAAATTTCCGCTACTTATAAACAACAAGTTTGTTAAATTAGAAGTCTGTAAACCCCACTGTTGTTTTACAATTATTCAAAATATCTTCCAATGCCCCGATTGAGAAACCACATGTACGTTAAAGGACATTTAAAGACATTTAAAACTGTAAGAACATTTTATTTTGCCATCAAAATTGAATTTGGAAAAAAAAGCAGCAAGAAAAACTACAATATTCTAATTAAATAATCAAAGATTTTTTAGTTCCCCCACCAGAAAAGTTGTCTATATAACATCTGAGATTCTCATGCAGATAAATGCAATTATGTTTCTGCATTTAATGGTAGAGGAGTCCTCCTCATGATAAGACATCAGTCATGGCTGTGCGATGTTTGCATGAGAAGTTATTTACCATCAGATAGCTGCAGAAAGCTCTCATTTACTCCTTCAGTTACATCATATCATTTGTATTCCACATCTTCTCTGACACACACTAACAACTGAACTTTTCCAGCTTCACAGTGGGAGTATTTGTTGTTGCAATCATCCCTGCACATGTCCAAAGGCCTGAAGATTAACAGATTATTTAGTGACACAGAAACCACAAGAATGACAAGAGATTCTGACCCCAAACGTAACATCAACATCTTTGATATTTTCTGATTGTGCAAGTTTTTATTACAAGCCAAGGTACGTTTTAAAGCCAGAGCTGCTCATGTGTGATCAGCTGGAAACAAAAAACAAAACAAAACACTTGTTCTTTTTCAAAATATGCTGCAGAAAGTATCAATTATTCTCACTTGAATGGTCAGATTTTGCCGAGGATGCGTAGTCTTCCTGTTCAGCGTAGGTGACTTTAAGATCCTCGGTGATCTCGTTGAGGATCCAGGAGACTACCTGCTGCATCCAGGCAACGTTTACGACATCACAGGCTTGAAGCGGGAGCTCAGCGCTCACCTGTGTTGGGTAACTGGATTACTCAGAGCCTTTTCTTCTCTCCCGCTCTGCTGAGTCGACTTAACACTTTCACTTTGTGTTCTTGCTGGCGGAGCTTTCATGATACAACCTTCAGAAAGGACGATAACAAACTGAACATGTGTAGCATTTCATTAAAGTCAGGCGTTAAAGTAGAAATATAGCCATTTATTTAAGATTGTAATAGGTCGCTAATGTGAGAACATGTTATTTAAATGTTAGGCCATGACCTTTATAATAAGTATTGTTTGTTTTTTTGTGTTTTTTTTACATGCAACACATGCCCCAACTTTATCTTTCTTTTTTCGCTTTTATCTGAAGTTTCTTACACAGCAATTTTTGGATGAGCAGAATAATATGTTAATAACTCCTCAGAAGTGATCATTTACTGCATATATTGTCAAATTTATCATATCGATTTGGCATTGATATTTAGTTTTTGACAAGCAAAGTGCTGAGTGCAGACTTTAAGATCCAGATTGATGAAGTTGAGGATTATTTTTTGGATTAAAATATGAAAAAGCAACACTTTCATACACCATAAATTCACAAAGGTGATAGAAAAAATGCAAAAAATAGCTTCTTAAATGTGATCATTTACTGCATATCTTCTCAAATAAATCATTGGTATTTAATTTCTGCTCAGTGTGGGTGACTTTAAGGTCCAGAGTGATCTACCTGGATTGTAAAAACATGAAAAAACAACACTTTAATACAAGATTCATGTCAAAAGTAATAGAAAACGAGCAAAAATAGCTCCTCAAATGAAGCCATTACTTGCTATTCTTTGATTTATCAATCTGTAACTTTGTTTGTTGAGAAAACATCTAATCACATCACATGAGCTTGAGATCAATGAAGTTTTATTTATATAGCGCCAATTCACATTATATGTCGTCTCAAGCAAGTGAAGAGAAAAGACAAACCTTTTGGTAGAACCCGGCTCAGAGAGGGTGGCATTGGTTAGGGCGAGGCTGAAGAGGAGAAAAATCAGGAGAGAAAATAGACAAACAATGCATAAGACGACAATAAATACTGTGGAGGTCGGTGAGGACAGTGATCAGAAACATGCGGCTCCACATCCAGAGAGACCTGCAGAGAGAACTCACAGCCGGTGACTTGCTGTGGTCACTCTAATGTTCATTTTTGATATTCTTTAAGGGGGTTTTGGACTGTTTGGTGGCCAGAACAAGGAATTTTATGATATAACCATGAACTGTTTTCTGACTTTTTGCAGACTAAATTAACTTAAAGGTGAATCCTTTCTGCTGTGGCGCTCCACGTGCTGATACCAGTCTGCTTTTGTGTTACTAAATTGTGATTTAGGGTAATTTTTGTTTTTCTGTGGCATACTCACTGAAGAGACTGCCTGGTTGTACTCTGATTTTTAGTTTTTTAAAAAACGTGATGTGGCGTATTTGGTATTTTTATTAGTTTATTTGCATCCAATGGTGTTTTGTCACGTTCAACTCTAGTCTTTTTCTGGCCTTCTGTTGTTCATCGGTCTTCTTGAGTAGCTTCTTTTTTTTTTTGACACGTCTGTAAAGCGCTTGTAAACCTTGTTTTAAAAGGTGTTTTGTAAATACAGTTCATTTCTATTACTTTTTAAAGGAAAGGTTAATGTCTGTTGCATCAAATTTGACAGAGTTGCATCAGCTGATTCAGTAACATCAATGTTATGTACTGTTATTTATTCTCTACTTTATTTATTTATAGGAAGCAAAAATGACAATTTTGCTGGAACTTTTTTTCAAATCTCACAATGGTCAGATAGATGGATGGATGGACGGATAGATAGATAGATAGATAGATAGATAGATAGATAGATAGATATGATTTGTTATTTATCACATTAGATATCCAGTAGCTCACACATGTTTACATTTAAGAAAAAAAAAGAAAATAAGGTGCAAAATAACATGTGAATTGTGCTGGTAGGAACAAATAAGGCGCAAAATTGTGCTGGTATTTTACAATAAAAAGAGTTTTTCTTTTTTTTAAAGCCTAAGATTGTTCAGTTTCACTTTTCAATTATGAAGCTGTGACTGACTGAATTTGGGAAGTTTTTTAGTTGGGAATTAAACCATAGACAAAATATTTATTTATTAAATCTCTCTTTCAATTCACATCCACAAAGCCGATATTCCTTTTTGCTGTATAAAACGACACCATACACCTTTATTAATCCCACATTGAGGACATTTGCATCGTTGCAGCAGCAAAGGGGAAAGTGCAAACATCTTAGAATATCAGCAGAAAAACCAAACTCGCTGGCTAACCTGCACATATTGTGATTTCAGGGGGCTTTTGGCAGTTTGCAGCGGGTCTCTCTAATCAAACAGCCGGTCACCGCGGCAGCGAGGGGAGTCTGAGGTGTGTCGCTCTGAAATGGACTCTTACGGATCTTCACTCGATCGCAGCCAGTCGCTGGCGAGCGGCCTGGAGAAGACCTCGCCCACGTGGAACAAGCCCACCCACTCCCGCAGCAGCAGCACGCTGTCATCTCGTCACTCCAGACAGGTGAGTCACAGGTCGGGCCAGAACGTTCAGGTCTACCTGAATCAGGGGATTATGGTCCCATATGATTCTCCTGCAGGGGAGGTCACGTTCTGTAAGCAGCCAGGATCTGGCTTTGTGTCTGACAGGGTTTCCCCCACCGCATGTAGCAGCATTATGTGTTTCCACAGCAAAATTAATGCCTTTACTCTGGATTATAGGGCAGTACAAGGGCAGTATGGATACTATGGTACACTGTCAGCTCTTGAGAAAGGCCAGTTCTCCTAAATATAAAACCAAAAAACTTATAGATCGATGTGTTATGATAAAGTGAAAAATTAAAATAACAATATTTTTCAGTCATTAATATACATGATTTTGCTTTTTGCGCCCTCTCTTATTGGAAATCTGTTCAATATCAGGGCTGAAAGGTGGCACAGTTGGTTAGCACTGTTGCCTCACAGCAGCTTGTTTGTTTCCTTTCCCTACATAAACCACATTCTTCCAGCTTCATAATTTTCCCTCATCATCCACGTCCTCTGTGCAAAGTGCCAGAAAACTGTGAAATGTGTATGTTGAGATTGCTTATTTCATTTTAAGAACAGTCCAGAGTACAAAATCCATGATCAATTTCATGTAGAAAATTTTCATTCCTTAAATTTAAAGTCAGTTTACGAAGCTAAACGGAGAAACCTCAGAAAACTAAACCAAAACCTTCTGCTTAGCCAGATATATTTATAGTTAAAGAACCTTCACAAATATTACAGTTGAGGAGAAGGTGAATCATATATTTGATTTTATAAATAGTCCCTACCTCAACTCTTCTCTGATCTACCAACAAATACCGACTCCACTCCCTCAGGCTAAATGTTAAAACACATCTTTTCTGTTTGCCAGAGAAAACAACAACCGGTTTTTCTGTAAGTATGTTAGACACAAAAAAAAAAAAGCCTGAAGAGAAACAACTCAACTCAAGTGTTCTCTTGTGTTCCTGCTCTCTGCAGGTGATCAAAGACTGGGAGGTCGTAGAAGATCTTCAGGTAGAAATGCACACCGGAGGAGAAGTTCCTCAGGAGATGACCACTCCAGGAATCTGTGAGGGATATCTGCTCAAGAGGAGAAAGTGGCCGCTGAAGGGTTGGCACAAGGTGAGAAGTTCCTTCTTTCTCATATAAAGATTCAAAAATCTCATGTTACTTTGACGCTGACTTTTTTTAAAGGTATCATTTTAACAAGCATCTGTTTTCCAGCGATACTTTATCTTGGAAGCAGGAGTCTTACGCTACTCCAAAAACCAACAAGATGTAAGTGAACTTTGAATTTCTAAGTAGACTGAACCCTGCCTGAGCTACTAAATGGTGTTAAACTAGAATTACCTTCAAGTTGTTTTAGATTCTAAACAGACTTTAAGATACATGCTGCTAATATGGTTGAGTTTTTCCTTGTTTGCAATGATTATGTCACACTTCATCCTTGGTATAAAGTTGTCACCACTCCTATGTAATGTAGAGTCGGTCTCATATCAGAGCAGTAAATGTGGACATTTGGCCTTGTCTTGCTCTTGTTTGTAGTGTTTTATTGCAGAAAACAGTGACATAACAGCAAATATGCACATTTTTCAGCTCTTTAAAACACAGTAAACCAATCTCATTTTTACATGTGCTGTAGTAAACATTTTTATTTCAATAACCTGCAAATAACAGTAAAGTAATGATACCTTTTGCTGATTTAAATTCAGTAAAAACAGTGGAATTTTATGGTCAAACGCTGTAAAAGAACAAACCAGTTATAAAAATACAGATTTTTATTGGACATTATTCATTGCTTTCACCCTTTTCTATGGTTAATATGGAAATCAGTATTTTTTTCCTGTGATTTTATTAGTTATTATCAGTAATTTAGGAAAACAGGGAAAAAATATAAAATAACAGCTTAAAAATGTATTTACGATTTTTCAACACATTTAGTTTTCTTTTAAATATCGGAAATTACCAGTAAAATAATGATATCCTTGTTGATTTTAACTCCAGTAAAAACTGGTTTAATTTACAGTCAAATATTGTAAAAGAACAAATGACTTTTTATAAAAAATATAGATAAAAAAAAAACTATTTACAGTTTTATAAGGTTAAATCAACACATTTTGTCTGTAATTTTAATTGTTATCTGTAATTTAACAAAACAGAAAAAAACTGTAAAATAACGGTACATTTAAAAAAAAAAAACTACAGTTAAAAATAGCTAAAAATTATAATTTGGGTACATTTACAAGTTTTTAAAATATTAACTCACGTGCACTGTGCTCTGTTAAGATATTCAATAAATCCATTTCATGAGACAATTTGAAAACTGCTCTTCTCCACTGCAGGTCTGCAGAGGAAGAGTCCAGGGCTCGCTGGACGTCAGCCTCGCCGTGATGTCAATAAACAAGAAATCCAACCGGATTGACTTGGATGCAGGAGACATTCTCTATCATATGAAGGTAAACTTAGTCACTGAATGCTGCTGCTGCTTTCTCCAAGATAAGAAACGCGTGCTTTCAGATTAAAAACGCTCTGTGTGACTTTCATTTCCCACCAAGGCAAAGAGCCATGAACTCTTCTACATCTGGGTGACGAAGCTACAAGCTCACCGCCTGTTTAAGAAGAATGAGGTGGCTCATGTTCAGACCGGCTTCCTGCAGTCTTTGTCTAACACTACTGCGTCTGGACCGGCTCAGAGAAATGGAGATTTGGTAACTATTAAATAAAAAAAAACACCACAATCCTCCAGAGTGAGTCTTAGATTAACTGATGTGTCCTCCTGCTTGTGTTCAGGGCCCCACGGGGATGGCAGGTTCAGCCGGAGCTTCAGGAGTGCTGCCCTCAGCCAACACTGCTGCGAACACTAAAGTGTCTGCCTGGCTGCAGCAAAGCCACGGCCAGGATACCTGTGTTCAAGGTACGTTCATTCACAGAACAAAGACCGTCTGTATGCAGAACAGATGCTCCCAAAACAAGGCAGTTAATTAGATGAAGTGAGAACATTTTGACATTAACCTGCTTTTCCAGTTACAAAACTAAAATGTTCATAAACTAAGTTATGCATTTTCACTGGAGGTCTGGACAGTTGAACTTCCTTTTACACATTAAAATCTGAAGCTTGAGGCTGCATTACAGTTGCATTGTGGGTCATGTATGCACCAGGTTTGGACTACAAGCAGAATGTGTGCAGTAAAAGAAGATCTTACTGGCTGTGCTGCTTTGATTTTAATCCTTATTCTATCCACTGAGTCTGACAATGTTCAAGAGTAAAATGTTAATTTGGTGTTGCCTTTTTTGTATAAAGTGGTTTATTTACCTATGTTTTTGGATAAATAATTATCCATCCATCCATCCATCCATCCATCCATCCATCCATCCATTATCTATACACTGCTTAATCCTCACTAGGGTCGCGGGTTGTGGTTGTAGTTGGTGGAAGTGGAGCAAATTTTTATCTATTTTGTCACACGACTGCAGCTGATTATTACAGTTCTGTCACAGTTACCCAGAGCCTTAAGTGACATCTTCATAAAGCATCCACATACAAAATAGATTATTATTGCAATATTATTTGGAAAATGAGGAGATCATCATATTTACAAAGCCGAACCACTGAAATGTTTGGTGTTTTTGCATACAAAACATTAGATGACCGCCATTTATTTATACTATCTGTCAAATGACTGATGGATAAATAGAATAATTGTTAAAGCTTTGCTTATTTGTGCTGTCAGGTAGTTGAAGTTATAGCAAAGCAAAATAAAAACTTCTTATTTCTTATGTTTCGTATGCAAAAAGCTCTGACCTGCAAAATAGTAAATAATTAAAGCAGTCAGACAAGTGCAGAGGAGTAAAAAGTACATTTAAAGTCTTAGTAAATGTTCTTGGTAGTATTTTATCACTGATTAAAGTTGCATTGTAAGTGTTTTTGGTGATGTACTGAACTTCTTTGATTAAACAGATGTGTAACTTTTCTGAAATCCTTTGACCATGCTGGATTTTCAGTGATTCACAGAGTGTAGTCGTCTGCGTAGAACTTGATTGAAGTATCTGCACATGTTTTCCTTTTAAGCATTCTGACAGCAATATGGTTTGTGTAATCTCTGCTTACCTTCAAGATAAATCTGATCAGTTAGCTGCAGAAACTCAGTAAAAGAATATACCTTTTATATGTTTTCTTCCAGAGTTGAACCGTTGTCATTTGGACCTTTCCGAGCTGAACCGCTTAATCCAGAGGCTGCAGGTGCTGGAGGTCGGCCAGGCTTTCACTAATGGAGAACTGCAGCGCATCATCAGCATACAGGTACACACAGACTGATGAGTTTTGTGCAGCGTTTTACAAGCAAATCTACGTAAAGACAAAATAAAATGCATTTCTTTCTGTGCAGAATCTGTCACTTGAGAAGCCGAAGAAGTCGAAGTCGGGGAAGATGTGGGGTCACTCTCGCACACTGTCCCGAGTGGAGGCTCTGGGAATGGTAAGAATGATCTGTAACTTGCTGTCGTTAAAGAAAAGCCAAGACAGATGTCATATTACAGTGATTTGTGCATTTATTTGGCATTACATTGAACATACTATTTGGTTTTTCATTGAATTCATACCTGAAGTCGTATTTCTCCTGGTAACATTTAGGACATATTGGGTTTAAGTAACATTTTGGGGCCTTTCTCTAATCTAATCCAAAGCCTATTCGTGGGATTACTAAATCGGTGAGTCGCCAATTGGCAGAACATGAGACAAGTTGATGCATTAAGATCATTCAGTGTTCATTCACTCCCTGCAGTTGACTGACATCCTGACAATGAACTGTGACTACATGTATGACGTGAATGTAAATGTTTTTCCTTTCAGGTCAAAATGTTATAGTTTGTTTTAAAAGCGTTCATAAATTGTTGTCTGTCGAGCTTTGAGATGTCAACATCCAAAATGGCTTTGTGATTCTAGAAAAGAGTGATTTGTAGAATTCATAGAGTAGTAAAGTGAACCTGCTTTTAGTTTCCAATCCCATCCCACAGCAATGCTGATTGTTGATCTTGTCTGCAGGTCAGAGTTCTACGGCTCTGAAGGTTTTCTTTCTTACCTGAGAGGAAAATAAAACAAACAGAACTTTCTTGATGAATAAAATAGATGCAGCAGGACTCAAAAATGGTGTAGAGAGCAGGAAGCTGTTAAAAGAGACTTAAGACACATTCAGCATGGTGAAACATCCTTCTAGAGTTGATGTGCATCGTATTATCAAAAAACATCAAGCTTGTAAAGGCTGAAAAATGTAACTTGTTAATATCTACAGCATGTTGAGCCATTATTACTATTATTATTGTTGATATATTTTTAAGATTTATGACATTAGAAATGTGTCATACTGCACAAAAGACGTTTATGAGCTCTCAGACTCAGACAACTGCCAGCATGAATGTAGATGCAATTTATCTGCAGTCTTTATGCTAAGCTAAGCTAACTGGCTGCTGGCTGTAGCTTCATTTTACGGAACCAGTGGTGGAAGAAGTTTTATTATCTTTTTCTTAAGTCAAAGTACAAAGTTAAGTTGCACAAATTCTCTACTACAGGTAAAACTGCTCTAGAAAAGACAAAGTACAGACATAGTTACATGTAAAGTTATTTATTTACTTAAAGTATCAAACGTGTACACATATACTATACTGTGTAAAGGATCAATATTGTCATTAGGTTGTTAATACAGATGCATCATTGCTAAAGTAGCATTTTACAGCCAAAGTGGAGCTTGTTTAATTACTTTATATTGATTTAAAAAAAGAGAAAAAAATATTTTATGTCACCTAAATGTATATTACTATGTTTGACCCCTCTTTAACGTTTGCCTAAAAAAAACAAAGAGTTTAGGAGAATTTTCTCTTTGTCGCAACGTCTAACCTAATCTCATGATCAAAAACCAAAACGTTTTGTGATCACTGAAATGGTGAGAGCTTTTCATCAGATGTTTATAGATGTATAAAGTAACAGAAATGGAAACGCAGAACTGAATGGTGAATTTTAAGTACAATATTTCAGTAACCGTGCAGACCTGAGGATGATCACAATCTTCTGATCTAACTCTTGGCAAAAAAAAAAGCACATAAAAATATCTTCCCAAATATCAACCTATTCCTTTAACATATAAATTCCAATGTACATGCTTCTGTTTCTGGTTTGTGCTACGCTTTACGGTAGAGGTCTTCACGTGTCCAAAGAGGCCTGAACCTGACTTACAAACATTAATGTTCAAATACGACGGCTTAAATGACGGCTCAGCCAGCTCTAATCCTATTAGATATGAGTTCATTTGGACCTGCTGACTTGTGAAGACCTCTACTCTACATAATGGGTAGTCTGCCTTGAAATATTCCCTACGTGTCATGATAAATGTCACTTCCCTTCAGAGTGCCGATGAGCAGGACTGAAACCTTCTGTGCTGGATAACATAACACACCAGTGACGCCTACTCACAAATCGACAGATGACACGGAAACTGTTGAATCCAACATCCTCCGTCCTTCTCCTGTTCTCCTCACAGCTGTCCTCCAGTCACCTGAGCAGCTCGGCCCACCTCGGAGCGTCGGTCCCCTCCATCCCCGACTACGTCTACTCCCAGCTGTCCCCTCCCACCGTCTTATCGCCCGAAGGCAAGAAGATCCAGCAGGACATCTGCGCCATGTCACTACGAGGTCAGAAAAACACACATTTGTACACACACAGGGAGATAGATACGACCAAAGAAGTTCATTTCTCAAATATTTATCCTAACATTGATCATAATAATTTATCCTGATAATTCCTTTATTGCAAATTATGTGGACACTGCAGAATAATCAACAGAAATCATATGTTCCTCATCTTTTTTTCACCATGATAGTAGAGTGATTAGCATATTTATTTTTGCCACTCATGTCTTTTTAGTGGTATTATTATTATTATGTTTTTTTTCCCAGCACATATGTTCATTTGCTTTTATTTAACTGTATATTCTGATGATATGTTTCTAAGGTAAGTTCTGTTTGCATTTAATATTGCAGTTATTGTCCATAAAGTGTAAATAGATGAGCAAATTGACAGACATAGACGTACAGTACCTATTACTGTTATTGCTTTTCAACCCCGAATCCGGGTGAATATGATTCAGCAAGAATTCACAAAAACAGACTCTTTCATGTCAAAGTGAAAACAGATTTCTACAAAGTAAATTAATTAAAAATATCAATCATAAAATAAGGGATTGCATTGGTATTCACTCCATTAAACTCTGTATTTATTCGATTTCAATTAAGCATTGAGCCTGTGTGAATCTCAATCTGCCTTGCACATCTGGACTGCATTTAGCCTATTCTTTAATGAACAGCTGCTCAAACTCTGTTAGGTTACACGGGGACCATGATTAAAATGTTCTTTTCATGTCTAGCCAAACATTTTCAGTTGATTCGAGGTCTGGGCTCTTACTTGCCCACTCCAGAACATTGACCTTGTTGTCTTTAAACCATTTCTGTGTAGCTCTGGCTGTTTGTTTCGAGTCATTGTCTTGCTGTTATATAATTCTACTTCCAAGTCACAGTTCTGTTGCAGCTGCATCAGGATTTCCTCCAGGAATTTACTGTATTTTGCTGCATTCATTTTGCCCTCTGCCTTTACAAGCCTTCCAGGGCCTGCTGTCAAGAAGCATGCCCACATTATGATGCTTCCACCATGGTGTGTTTGAGATGATGTGCAGCGCTTGGTACCGTCCATAGCATCTAGTCTGATGGCCAAAAAGCTCAGTTTTGGTCTCATCAGAACAAAGAACCTTCTTCCAGTTGACTTTAGAGTCTCACATATGAATTGTGGTGAACTCTAGTCAAGATTTAATATGTGATTTTTTCAACAGTGACTTTCTCTTTGCAATAAAGCTTTGACTGGTGAAAAACACAGTTGTTTGCACAGTCTGTGACATCTCAGCTGCTTGAAGCTTGTAACTCCTTCAGAGGAGTCATAGGTGTCTTGGTCTGTTTCTTGTATGGTCACTTGGTCTGCTGTGGGGCATTTACACATGTGCCATGTTCCTTTAACAATATATCTGTAATGACAGTTATTCCTTTTATTTAACGGAATTATTAAATGGATCACAATTAAATGTTGAAAAGCAACAAACAGGGAAAACTTCCAAAAGCATGTGAATACTTTTTATAGGAACTGCACGTAACTGGGACAAGTTCAGAGAGAAATGGAGATTCACCAAGTGGGAAAATAATAACATGCACCTCTCCGTCTTATTATTCAGTGCTTTCTTCCCTGAAGTCGGTGCATGAGACTCTGTCCCAGGAGAGGCAGAAGCTGCAGGAAGTCTGGGAATCCAACAACATCCACCAGTCCAACACATTAGCTGTGGTAAGACTGATGCTACGCCTGCCGTCTAGATTCTCCACCATATTTTCCTTGCGTCCTTTGTTCCTCACTGTTTCTCCTTCTCAGCCTGCAGCAGGGAGGAATTCAGCCCACGGGCCTCCTTCAGTTGCAGATTCAGCTGCCGAGTACTTTGACGCCAGCGATGACATCCTCTGTGGCAGCTCCTCTGAGGTGTCTGACGAATCGGGACTCAGCGACGGGAGCACCACCAACTCTGAACCAGAGGAGGGACATGGTGGGTACATTTACACCAGCACCCTTGTTTACTCTTTGTCCAGTCTTTGACCTGTAGCTGCCAACACATCAAGGCAGAAGATAACAGAAAGATATTATTCTAAGCTCCTCATCTCCTCTGACAGCTAGTTCATAACCCAAAGGGCATTTTGAAACAGAAGATAAATTTTGTGAGAAAGCAAAGCTCTGGTTACGCTCACATTACATCCTGAATGTCATATATTTACAGATATATTTATATTTTTTCTTGGAATATTGTATTTTTTGATATCATGTCTTAGCCACTGATTCAGATCTGATTTCTGATGATGCAATAATCAGATCAAAATTCCTGTCTTTTTTTTTTTGCATCTCACCAATATGAGGATGTTTCAAATATGGAAATTATGGAAAACCTCTATTGAAGCCAAACTGAAAGGAACTAATGACAGCACTGCTAAGTCATCCAAGTTTATGATTTGCCTGTTGCACAAAGAACATTATTTTTTGTTCTTGTAAGACTCATTTATCACTTAAATTCAGATTAATATTTAAGTTGGTCAGGTGTTATTATATATAACGTAGGGTCACATCCTTAATATTCACATTACCCAGGTAGTGTGTCCTATATATTATATTGCAGTGTAATAACATTGATATTTGAACTACTCAGATTAATTTAAATTTGTAGCATTAACCTCTATTGTTTTTAATTATGCTGTAGAAATAATAGCGACTCGACTTAAATCTGCAAATACAAAGCAGTTTATGACACGTCATTCACAAATATGAACTACAAACAAAAAAAAAATGTATGTTTAAAAAATAAAAAAATCTATGTTTAAGTCCTCCTTTGCTGCTCAATGAGGTTTATTATAGACATTCATGTTACCCACAGACTAAATTGGAGCTTTAGTGATTAATTATTCATCATTAGGTGAAGGTTGAAATTTGTTAGAGGCCAAGTGCATGCAAAACTAGTCACATGACACACCAAACTAAACTATATCTGTTAATATCTGTTAAAAATCAGTGTCTCAGCATCGTTCCTGTCATTACCTGAACAGAAACAGTCAGTTTCATTTTTACGCTTGAGATGTATTTCCAGTCTTGATTACTGGTAATATTATTTCCTGTTATTAATGTTGCAGTATCAGCCACCCGGAAGTACCGCGCAAGCATTTCCAAGACTCCCAACTGTGTCGCTCCCCAGAGCACCGGACGGAGAACAAAGCTGCCGGCTAGCTGTCCCGACAACAGCCACGTGGGCCTCATGGCTATCCTCTACAACAACATAGGTGAGGACCGGAATGAAACTCACATTAATGCAGTAATGTAATTAATCGTCTGAGTTTATATTCTGAGCTCTTGGTGCTGTTTCTCCTCAGGTAAAGACTTGGCTCGGGTGTCGATGCCAGCGGCTCTCAATGAGCCCGTTAACCTGCTGCAGCGGCTGTGTGAGGAGCTGGAGTACAGCGACCTGCTGGACACCGCCAACAACACACCGGACCCCTACCAGAGGATGGTAAGACGGGTCAAAAGTTCAGTATGTTTGAACTGTCGATTAAATGTTGATAGTGTTGATAATGTTTCCTTAAGTACAAGTCAGAAACCATTGAGTCCTCTGCAGCAGGTACAGGAATTCTTAAAGAGCCCATATTTAGCTTTGTGGTGTTTCCACTTTCCCAGGGTATTTTAAATGTCTTCTGTGCATGTTAAAGGCCAACAAAAATAAAATCAAAAGTGAGTTATTCTCTCCTACAGATAAAAAGAAAATCTTTAACTGCCTAAAATGCCTCGTTTGAAGTCTGTGGCATTTCTTCCGTTAATTATCTTCATCATCATGTAACACATTTGCAGAAAACCTGCTTGGTGGTTAGTTTTGAAAACCCACAAATATATTTCAGCACACCCCAAAAATCTAATTATGAATCTGTAAATGTGCAGGGCTCTTTAAAGGTAATCAGGTAACCAACATTGCCATGCACATTTCTTTAATCCTCCTTGACTGGCCAATAGTTGAAGCAGGAGAATGGCTGGTTGCTGTTATTAACAACAACCAGTGACCCCTGGGTTGAACTACTATTATTATTATAATATCCATCCATCCAATGTCTATGCACCACTTAATCCTCACTAGGGTTGCAGGGGGCTGGAGTCTGTCCCAGCTGACTCAGGGTGAAGGCAGGGGACACCTGGACAGGTCACCATTCACACCTACGGACAATTTAGAATCACAAATTAACCTCAACATGTTTTTGGACTGTGTGGGAGGAAGCCGGAGAACCCGGAGAGAACCCACGCTGCACTGGGAGAACATGCAAACTCCATGCAGAAAGATCCAGGTGTTCTCACCGGGACGCAAACGGCGACCTTCTTGCTGCGAGGCAACGATGCTAACCACCGCTACACCTTGCAGCCATAATATAATATAATATAATATAATATAGGCAAGGCAAGTTTGTTTGTATAAATTTCAACAACAAGGTGATTCAAGGTGCTTTAGAGACATTAAAACATATTATAATTAGAATTTCACAATAACAATAGTGACATATTTGGCTAGAATAATAGATAAATATATTGATAATGATATATGATGATAAAAACTGTATTTTGACAATGAACCAGTGCATATAGATATTACATAAGGATGAAAACACATTTATTCTCTCATTTGCCAAACAAATCTATGTAAAGATACAAAACCAACACTTCTTTTTCCAGTACTTATCACTACTTGTATCCAATTTTAGAAATATATTTACAGTATTAAACTTGAATTTTCATCCAAAAAATAAAAAATAAATGTTTGTGTAATTAAACTGGATTTTGAATGTATTTTATTTTTCAGTATTTTTATGTTATGTTTATTGTCAAGAACATTTTTTTACAGAGTGCGCACCAATAAAATAAACTGGATAAACTAAACTGTCCGTATTATGTTCAGATAAAAAGCAAACCTTTACGTTCTGTATTTTGTCCTTGTAGGTTTACATTGCTGCCTTTGCTATCTCTGGTTATTCCACTGCGACGTTCAGAAACCGCTACAAGCCCTTTAACCCAGTGCTGGGGGAAACCTACGAGTGCATCAGAGAGGACCGAGGTTTCCGCCTCATCAGTGAGCAGGTATCTTAGAATCTGTTGGTTTTCTATGTACAGTTATGTCGGGTGTTTAAAATGAATCAGGTAGATTTGCTCAATAGATAATATTGTACGATCTTAAACTGAATATTGAAACTTTTTCAGTGAATTCGCACCACTGCAAAGCATCGTGTGGTATATAAATAACAGTGATTTGATGTCCATGCGTTGAAGCTTTTGAGGACACCGACTGGCTGCTGCAGGAAACCTAACTCAGTTAAACTGATAATTTCTATAAGTGGGAAAAGATGAGCTGCCATCATCTCCTCCTGCTGAATTAAGATGGATCGCTCGCTGGGTTAATTGAGTCGATCAGTCACACGGAGCTGCACGACTTTGTGATTTATCGCTTTAATAAAATCGTGTTATCAAGAATTAGCGCGAATGTTTCAATCATTTGTTTTAAAGTGGCGCCAATTAAGCGAAAAAAAATTAGATGTCAATCCTCAACATAGCAAAGAATTACTCAAACAGACTGGAGATGTAATTCTGCAGTTATATATTACTGTTTAAGTGATCTGTTATAGTGTTCTTTGCATGGTTTGCTGCAGCTTGCAATGGAGATGTGAAAGTTAGCTGTTTGTAAAGTTGTATAATGCATGATGTTTGTCGAGCACTGGTGTTATAAACAGTATTAACAAAGACTGAACTCCAAAAAACTAAAAAAAATCAGATATCCTATTGTCTAAAAACTTCCAAAAACATTTAAAATCCTGCACCTCAATTTACAATTCAAAAGAGACCACAAGTTAAGCACTTTGTCCCTTTTTTTAAAAATGAAAAAGGTCAAATCAACTCAACAGATATCCGTTTGTGATCTCTGTTTTTCCTTTTCTTTCCCAGGTCTGCCACCATCCACCCATCTCCGCCTGCCATGCAGACTCAGACAACTTCTCCTTTTGGCAAGGTCGACCCAACATCTCTCTTTGTGTTTTAGTTAGTGCTCGTGCTCACAGCTGTTTCTGTCCTCTGCTGCCTTTAAATGCTTTTTAAAAAAAACAAGTCCTTATGTTGTATTGTGGCATCAACACCTGTTTGTGTCTCTGAACAGACCAGCGATGGAAAAACAAATTCTGGGGGAAGTCGCTGGAAATCGTGCCAACAGGGATGGTGAACGTGACTCTTCCGAGGTAAACAGTTGGCCTTCAGTTTTTCTGTCACAGTGTTTCTGTCATTATGTGTAACTGAAAGCGTTGTTTTATGAGAATCTAGCAGAGTGCAATGAGCTGTGAAACACTCATCTCAGGAACAACAGAAAAGACAAACTTAAACCATCTGTCCACACAAACGTAATGATGTTGATGCACTGTGAAGGTGTTTTCATGTTCGTACTGAAGAAGAAAAATCAAAAAACTTACTGTTTATTTTAGCATTTAATTGAATTTAAGGCAGCAAATGAATTTATTTGAAATTTTGAAATTCCAGCTGTGAGAATGAGAACATTTTTGGCATTATGTTCTGGGAAGCTTTAGCACGAGCACCGTGACATGTAACTTCTGTAGTTGGATTCTGCAGCTGGTCTCGAGGTTGAACAAACAGGACAAGCAAAATGCATGTAAGGAGCAGCTGAGATTCATCTCTGGGGACAGTTTTCACTCCATTATTAGCAAGTGATGCTATAGCTCGGCTAGAGACCCCAGGGTATGTTGGGAAAAAAGCAAACAACTTTATCTTTGTTAAGTATTTGAGACATTACTTCATCCTTTTATTCAGGATGAGACTCTGGCTTTCTGTAACTTGCTTCCAAAACAGGTTTTTGGAGGACAGGAGGGAATCTGGGCTGTCATTAAAGATGGATTTAGAGAAATCTTATTGTAAATAAAATGTCCCCTATATATAGATCTTTCAGATGTATTTTTTTTTTTTGCAGTTTTGCTATTTTTAAACAGTTCACAGTGTAGAGACAAGAAACATTGGGCAGTTCAGACATGAAAGAAATGCTTCCAGCTGGCATTAAACAAGGGACATTGTGGTTATTTGAACTCGTGAGCCCCAAACTAATGAATGTTTTCCACTTGAATATGTCTGTTGAGCACTATTTCTGCAAAAATATTTACTTATTTGTCCACAAATGCCATCACAATTTTTCCAAACTATCTTTAAATTGCATGTTTTGTGTGTAAATCTGTTTCTAACCTGACAATATTCACCTTATAATGAAAAAAACGGAGACAAATCTTCACATTTTACAAGCCAGAACCAGCGTTTTTTTTTTTTTGCCGTTTTTGCTTGATGCCAATTGACTCTTTCAGTACTGACTTAGTTTGCTGGACTTTGTTGTTCTGTCCAGGTATGGAGACCACTACGAGTGGAACAAAGTAGTGACCTGCATCCACAACGTGCTCAGCCAGCAGCGATACCTGGAGCATTACGGAGAGGTCACCATCCAAAACCTCAAAAACAACGTGTGCACCTGCAAGATCACCTTCGTCAAGGTGAATAAAATGACCTCCACTACTCACCTGTTTGCTGTTTTACTATTTACTGACTGTTTTATTGTGCTTTAGTCTCGTTATTGGGGCTCTGAAACAAACAAGAACGAGGTTCAAGGAACGGTGCTGGACCAAAGCGGGAGCGTCATCCACCGGTTTGGAGGTCTGTGGCATGAAGGCATCTTCTGTGACACTCTGCCGACTCCGAAATGCATCTGGAAGCCAAGTGAGTCCATGAAAATCACAAATTTCTACTAACAGAAATCAGATCAGGGCTGCAAGGTGACTCGGTGGTTAGCACTGTACCTCGCAGCAAGAAGGTTGCCGGTTCACGTCCCAGTGAGGACACCCGGGATCTTTCTGCATGGAGTTTGCATGTTCTCCCCGTGCAGTGTGGGTTCTCTCCAGGTTCTCTGGCTTCCTCCCACAAGTCTAAAAACATGTCAAGGTTAATTGGTGATTCTAAATTGTCCGTAGGTGTGAATGTGAGTGTGCTTGTTTGTCTGTCTCTAAGTGTAGCCCTGTGATAGACTGGTGACCTGTCCAGGGTGTCCCCTGTCTTCACCCTGAGTCAGATGGGATAGACTCCAGCCCCCCTAGTGAGGATTAAGTGGTGTATAGATAATGAATGGATGGATGGAAATCAGATCAGACTTGTTGTCTCTTATTTTGGTGACGATATGACTTACTGTTGTGACTTTTGGTGTCACGTGTTGGTGTCACCGTGCCGGTCGCATGACGTTCTGCTTTAGGTTTAAATGGAAGCGAAGTGAAATGATTAAGCACTCCTGCTGCCAAAAACAACTAATCAGTACAAATCCAAGCGTCACGTTTGTGCAGCAGCTCACCTAAGAGGCTTCTGTCCATCCACAGATCCCCAGCCAAAGGATTACCTGCTGTACTATGGCTTCTCCACCTTCGCCATGGAGCTGAATGAGCTCGCCTCAGACCTGAAGCCTCTCCTGCCTCCCACAGACAGCCGCCTGCGCCCCGACCAGAGGTGAGAAATCCAAAGAAAGGTTGAGAATTTATCCACGGGGCACTGAAGCGGATCTCAAACTGGAAATAAAAGTCAGACAGGCAACAAAGAAAGCCATAAAACTGATTAACATCCAACTGAAATATGACAAAAAAAATATCTAGCTGAGCTGAAATAATAAAAATGAACATGATGGTTGTAATGGTTTTGATTCCTGCGTATGTATGTGCACAGTTATAAAATATCAACTAAATTCCTCCTGGATCTTTCTGCAGACTTCTGGAGGAGGGAAAAGTGGAAGAAGCCGACATAAAGAAAGATGAGATAGAAGAATATCAGAGGGAGCGGAGAAAAGAACTCGCCAAAAAGGGGGAAGACCACATTCCACGTTTTTTCAAGTAAGTTCACTCTTTTAAAAAAAAATCCTGGTTGTAGAAGGATGAACTGTAAACTATTTATTATAATTATCTAATCTGTTTTCCCACAACAAATGCAAACCACAAACCCTCAGACTTTAATCTTTTATAATAAAGAAAGTAAAATTATGTTTATTTGCACAAATACTTAATGTTTGATTGCCTGGTTGTCTCTTGATATTTAAATTACTTTTCCAGCTTAATTTATTTTATTCATTGTTTTGTGAATCCACTGTTAATAAAAGTACATTTTTAAATTTTAGCTGCAGGCAGTTCTCAGGACTGATTTGATTTCAGATTTTTATTGTGACTAAATTCACATAAATACAAAAAACTATAAAATTTGGGCTAATACACGGGTTTAGTTTCAATATAGATTAACTCGGTGATTATTTTCTTGATTGATCAAAATTATTAGACGTAGATGGTTATGTTTTATTGTCCTTTTTTGGCTACCTTTCTGTATTTAAAAAAAAAACTGTGATCAGTATTTTCTAATTATTTTTGCATTTTTTCTGGGTCCTGCTAAACACTGATAGAAAGGTGTATTATTCTTATTCTTATTCTTATTCTTATTCTTATCAGTTACCTTTAAAAGAGTAATAAACAGGGAATATATTCATAAAAATGTCATCTGAAGTGATTAAGAACAACATGTAGAGTGAAACAAAGCTAGATTAAAGAATAAAATAAATGAAACAAATTAAAAAGACAAAACATGAAAAAAAACTAGTTAAAATTTCATTAAAAGGCAAGGCATAATAAAATATAATAAAATCATTTTAAAAACCTGGAAAAAAAGAGAAAACAGATTAAAAATACAAAATAAAAAGAAATCATAATAAAAACAATAAAATAAATAAATAAAATAAAAAAGCCAATGTCTGTAAACCATATTTAATTAGAAGACAGCCTGAAAACATTGGTTTTAAACCAACAAATACAGTTAATAATTATTTTACTGTAATGCAAGACAAAGATAAGGAGCAAATTCTCACCACTGAGAACCGAGAACTTTTAAAAAATTAATAATTCATACAATGTAAAACCGATTGGATTCATGTTGGCACGGCTGCAAACGAGCGTGTTTATTTGGTTTGAAATACAAATATTTTGCACAGACAACAGTTCTCTCCCAACAATGGTAACATCTTGCTGCCGTCAGATTTTCTCAACATCTTCCTGTAAAAGTACACGAATCAGAGCAAAGCCAAAGTTTGTTAAAAAAATAATTTATTTCTTCCTTTTTTCTTCAGGAAAGCCAAAGACTCCTGTGGACGAGACGTGTGGTTGACAAACGGGACGTACTGGAAGCTCAGAGAGAGCCCGGGCTTCGCTAACATTGAAAATGTAGCCATGTGGTGACGAGATGAGACGGCAGCGACGCGCAGACGAAGCCACACGAGAGACGGAGATCGAAAAATGTCGGTGGTGGATACTTTTGGACAGCATACATGAACCGCTCTGAGACAGAGCAGGGATCGTGCTGTCAAATTCTGCAAACCCGTGACTGGATCATGGGAACACCTCGACCAGCAGAGTGAACCAGCAAACGACTGGTGAAGAAACGTAGAGAGAACTTCACATTTTCTAATGCATTTATTTTTCTAGATTACTTTAATCTACATATATGCATTTATATATATATTTTTTGAATTTCACAGTTTGCTGCCCTACACACACTCGACATACTGGAACTTGAAATGACTTGGAACTCTTTCAAAAGCGGATTATTCTATTTTCGTGTGTTTTCTTTAAGCATTCAATCAAAAAATCACATCTTCTCTCAGCCAGATTCTATAACGAGGACAGTTATTTGACTGTATAGGTACCGGAGATGAGGCAGGATCACCAGCTGGTTTGTAATAATTAGTTTTACTACAGCTTTGTTTTGCAGAATAACCTTAAAGCAGCTCTTTAATGACAAAGTAAAAACACAGAAAATGAATTTGCAGAAACTGCATCGTGAGCTTCCTCCTGCAACCATCGACCGTTTCAGTGAGAAAACTCAGTAAAAAGCTGCTGTACATGACCTGCTCCACACTAAGCAACATCCAGACACAGCTAGAGAAGAGCTGGTCAACACAGTGGAGCATTTAGCAGCTAACAACTTCATATTTCCCTCAGGAGATGGTGGAGACCAAAAACGGAGCAAAAAGAGTCCAAAAAAATTGATTTACATGCTCTAAATGAAAGACAATGTCTATATTTGGTTCATAATTTGGTTCTGTTGCCCCAAAATGTCTAAAAAATGAGTAATTGCAGGTTTAGTGCAGATCATGTATTATTGTGCTGCAGAGAAATCCTGTGTTTTAGTGTGCACGGTGCAAATGCCCAGATAAATTTGTCTGCGATCACATTATTACAAACCCTGGAGTCCTGCTTCCTCAGCTACAGTTTACTGACAGCATTTAGCTACCAGTCCAGCAATAATCCAGCTTCATACCCGTGGTTTTCACTCCGTTAGACCTGAATATGATGCTGAAGATGACTGTTATGGTGTAAGATGGTGTCTGCCTAAATATCTTGTGTCATTGCTTCCATAGAAAACTTGATGGTGCGACATCCTCAAAAACTATATTTTAATGTTTTTAAATTTCTTTTATGAACACTGAGCATAGACACATATTTAAACGAGGAGGAGACGATGTATTTTACTGTATTTTCATGTCATTAATAGTGAAATGACCATCCAGCTGGTTGGAAACATGTGAACGCTGTATTTATACAGTTCATTAAACTGTCAACATCACAACTGTGGTTTTTTTTTTTTTCAATATTATATACACTTGACTGCACACAAATGTCCAGTGTATAGAAAGGTTTTTCTCTCAAATGGCATTTACAATCTAAAATCGCACATGCAGCATTTTGAAATTTGATTTTAGTTAAATAACGACGAAGCAGTCGGGATATTTCTCATGTGTAAGCTTTATTTTCATGAATAAAAAAACAACAGTACAGTACACATTTATGCCACCTTTAATAAATAACAGTTTCTGTTTTCCCCATTCAGAAATCTTCAGTCTTATTTGTTTCTGCATTGCAATTTATAAGCTCTTAAAGAAAGGAGTCGAAGGATCTCCCTCGACACGAACAGTGCACATACAGTAGATCACACACACACACACACACACGCACACACAAAATAAAATAACATGCTTGTTGCTGCTTCAGCTGTCTGGTCTGCCTTCTTCACTCCTCCAGTTTCTATATTATACAGTAAAATCTCTGGAAATACAGTTCGAGGGAAGCACAGACTGATGGGAGATGGAGGTATTACAGGTTGAACATCGGGGGTCGGGGTTGGTTGGCTGATTGTAATAGCTGAGATATCCAGCAGGGGTCGTTCCTGAGGTGTCTGAAAGCATCTCTGCTGCTGCTCCATGTGAAATCCTGCACTGCAGTCACTCAGTGAACCACGTAAACCACAGCACGTAAAATAAACGTCCACAGGCCGGTGAAACTTTGCTGTTTGTTGCAGCGCCATCGTTAACTCTAAACTAATTTATTAATTGCACTTAAAACACGAATCGTCCGTTGTTACAGCTTCGTTAAGAACCGCCACCTCTTTCTCTGGCAGGTGTCAACACAAACATTTAAATAGTACATCTTTTGGAAATGTTACACAAGCATCATACATATTTTTCCCATCAGTTGATCATACAATATATCCATTCTGCTCTTCATTACTTAAATGCTCAGATAAAGGACAGACGGTTTGCCCTTTTTGCATCAACGTTAAGAACGTTTTATGAACATTATGTGCTGTTTGTAACTTCCAGTGGATCCAGTGAGAGTCTTTGTGAAACCTTAACAAGGCAAACAGCAATACTGAAGTCAGGATTACAACCTGTTCAACGCACAACAGCAACAGGAGGCTGTAAAATCAGTAGAACTTTTCATATTCTCTTCAGTAAGTGAACTGTTTCTGCAGCTTGTGCAGTGTCTCAAACCTAATCTGCAATGGTTGCATCTAAAATACTGGAATCAGGCTGTAAAAAAACCCACAATGTGTAAGTTTGAGCTCTACAAAGTGAAGGTTTAAATAACAATTTGTGCTTTTATGTTAATGTGTCAAACGATCTCTTTAAGCTGAATGTAAATCCTTTGTTACCTGGTTGTTCATAATATAGTTACTGAAGCTTAGAAATGTGAAAATACACAGCAGCATTTGCAGTATTCTGTCCTATAAAGGCCAAGTACAAGAACTACAGAAACAGCAAATCTGAGAAAACAGAGTTTGAAGTTTAAAAAAGAAGTTAAATTTATGCTTTTGTTATTTTTTAAAGCTGTTAATTTATGATTGTCATGGACTTTGCACAAAACCTAGAAAAATATTCAAGTACTACACCAACAGCGCACAAAGAAAATACATTATCTGCAAGAAAATATGTTCTTTATGCAGATTGTGGACTTATTTGAACCAGTGAAGTAGTTTAAAGATTTTCCTTATTGACATGAAGGTAGATTTAAAGTCACAAGATTTCCAGACAGGTTGCTACTCTGCTCAGTGGAGGTTGTTTATGTGGTGCTACTTTTGAAAAAAATGAATTTCTAATATTTTTCTTTGCATTTTTTCACCAAATTGCACATTAAACTGGATCCTAGTCTTTATATGGTGACTTTAGTGGCAGATTCAAGTCTTAAGTTTCACCAAATCTGCTGGATTTCTGTCTCTATGGGACAATACAGACCATCGGTGCTGCTGCTTCCATCATCTAATCTGCAGCCTTTAAAGACTGCAGCAATGCAAACCTATATAAATGATCGCATGTCTCCCTCAGAAAGGACCTAAGCAGGCCGGCTCGACACTGACTTCCCGCCCGTCACCCCCAGTGTTGTCTGAGGCCATTAGCACACCTGGTGAGGACTGAGGAGCAGAGCTCTGATCAGCGCCGACTGCAGCCTCACTCTTCATTTCTGTCACCGGGCCGCGAGCCGGGCCTCTGTCAGCCGGTGTCACCACATGATCGGCCCGAAGACTTGGGGGGAAATTCAGAGTGTCTGTCTGGTCACTCTGAGCTTCCTGTTTATTACGGGCTGAGGGTGACAGCGCCTCGTCTGTTTGCAGGTGGATCCTCGCTGACCCACTTTCAGGCTCTGCAGGGGTTTGGGGAAAACCTGGAGGCTCATCAGTCGTTTTTCCATAAACCATAGCATTATATAATTTATCTTATTTTGACAGTTAGGTGTGAAAATAACTCAGGAGGCAGTTTGAATGTGGTTTAACAGTTTGTTCGTGTGATATTAAAGCTGTCACACCTGCCTCTGCCAAAACTGTTTTCCAGATTTCAGGGCTGGTATTGATTGTGGGTTTTATTTCTGTGTGGTGACAGGAGCTGCTGTAATTCTTTATCCAACCAACCTGGTGTTCAGCTGGCCAAGCCAAGAAGCCCATCACTCATCCATGTCTTCAAATTACCACAAAGCTGAAACAAAAAGTGCCTCTGACTGAATGAATTAAAACAAAGGGAGCCGCCGCATGTTTGACAAGCTGATCCAAACGCTCACATCTTTTACCTCCAACTCAGTGGAAACAAGCTGCTTCAAAAAGTCCTTCACCCACCACAGTCTGGCCCACTCCTATGACATATCTAAACACACAGACTGGCATCAGTGTTTCTAATTGTGGCGCGTTGAGGGGCTTTCTAAATGATGCAATCTCGTCACATCAGAGCTTCGGTGAAGTAAGGACTAATTTTACGCTTTAAAGCTGCTCGTATGCTTCCTCAGAACTGATAGACGTAGTTTATTAACTTTGGAAACTCCCCGCTCCTCCTACACACAGTCTTCTGACGCTGAAGCTGTGTCCAACCATTTCTGCAACCTTCTGAATTCTAATCAGATATTTATAAGCACTTCAGGTCGTGACCGTCCAGTTGCATGGAGGTGAAAAAGGAGACTTTTTTTTTTCAGTCTTTGCACAACTACTTCTGTTAAAACCACGAATGCCTGAATATATAGCAAATATTGAATCTAAATCTTCTCTCTAAGGCCAGTTTTTCACTTTTCCATCTAGTTTGGCCCTTTGAAACAAACAAAAATGTAATATGGGGCTACTGAACATGCCTTAACTGCACAATTCTACCAAACACTATCTATCGATTTGTGAATCTTTACACATTTCTGTGTAGCTTTGCATTTGAATGCATCTTTTATTCTGCTTATTAAAACCCATTAGCAAAGCCAGGAATATTTTGAACCCTGCATTGCATTGTTGACTGCATTCTTCTTCACCTTCACCTGCCAGTGAATGGAGAAGTGTGACACTGTCGCTGGTCATATGTAATATGTGAACTCCTGAGCATGCTAGAGGTCAGAATGTACCCAGGATGCCTTTAAGATCAAGACAGATGAACTCAACAAGTGCCACTGATGACTGATGAGGCACAAGGAGTTAGTGCAGGAGCCATTCAGCTTATTATTTGTGTTTATTCTGGTGCAGTACGCCTCTGGTACACTAGGAGGCAGTCACTTGTAATGGGGCTGCATTTTAAACAGGAAGGAAAGCAGCCATGTGTGGTTGCAGGCCAGGTGAGGCATGCAGTTTTGGGCTTTCTGCAGATGGTATAGCAGTGGCTTAAATCTATTTAAGCTACCAAACTGTGTGACTGATGATGTTCCTCCTGGATGCACATAAATGTTTGTAAGTAGTCACTGAAGCAGAAAAGACAAAAGCAAAGTTCCCTTTACAAGAGACTGAATGAACTCTAGCCACAGCATCAAGCTGGAGGAAGTCATGAACAAGGAGTGAGAGTACAAGCAAGGACATTCGTATGTGAAACCATCCTTGGGTACCATCTAATTCACCTCCATGTCAACTGGACATTCCCATCCACAGAAATAGGCCACGAGATGTGACTGTAAGCTTCAGAAACAACACGTAAGTTGGGCCTTTTGGTAAAAATGTTCCATATAGTGCTTATTTTCATTACTGATTAATCTACAAATTATGTTCTTGATAAATTAAGTCAATATTTTTAAAGGGAAAAAGTGAAAAGTGAGGCCTTGTGATGTTTTTTTTGTCTGACTGGTGCGTTAAAATTCAAAGATATTCATGTTTAGAAAAGAAAAAATAGCAAATCCTCACATTTTAGAGGCTGCAACCAGCAAGTTGGGCATTTTTGCTGAAAAAACAAGTGACCAAAAACAAGTATTAAATGATCAAAACAGTCTTCCATGAGGTGTTTTTCCCCTTTTACTTCAAAAGCTCCTCTTATTGGTGTTGTAAACCAGCATTTCTTTTACTCTGCTTTTAGCCTTACAAGGTTGATAATATTACAGCGCAAACAGTTATTAAAATAGATTTGATAACTTTACTTTATCTTGCAAACACCCAGATGTGCTCTTTTCTGTTGTACTTATAATCCCAGATCAGTTATTTTTTATAAAGACTCTGCAGATACAAGCTGCGACCCGTTTTCTGATTATTTAACACTCCCGTCAGTTTTCCCTTAAACTCGTGAGATATGTTGCCTCCGGTCGTAGACAAGCTGCTATTTCTGCTGTCGATGTGCCGAACACACACAAAAGGTTGTCCTGACGTGGTTGAGACAGATTAGCTTTACTTCAGAACATGTGCTCGCTAAGCTGCCTTAATGCCCTGACATCAGTTCAAACACTTTGACCTCTGCCCTGTCGGCCTGCAGCGCCGCTCTGTCGCCGCTAGTGGGAGCTGCGCTAAACGTGTTGGGGCCTAATTGGACGGTGGGGGGACGACGGCGCGAGTGCGTGCAAAAGGTAATTTCCGCTCATCGGGAGACGCGAACGTGAGCATATTGTGGGAGTAGGTGTGAATGGTTGAGGGTGAGAAGGAAGAGACAGAGCAGAAGAGACAGACAGAGTGTTTGATGCAGAAAGAACAGACAATCCCTGCAGGCGTCTGTCAGCAAGCAGATATGCAGATCATTTCTTTTCAAATCTCCAGATGTTTTTCGAAGGCGGAAGTCACAGGTCTGTTTGGTGTTTATGTGACTCCGGGGCAGAGTCCCAGTCACATCCACTTGCGTTCAATGCTAACTTTGACAGTAACCTTGAAAGTTCCTCCTGTAAATCATCTTACACTTTTGAGATCTGACTTTATGGCGTGACTGGAGATGAGGTTTGCGCTACAGCAGAATTGGAGACTGCCGCAGCCCGTCGTCGTGACCTGACTGGACAGACTGGTGTGTGTCCGTGAGGGCGGTGTGGGATGATGCTGGGAGACACTGTGCTGCTGTGTGAGGTCTTCAGTGGGTGTAATAGCCGTAGTAGTCTGCGTCGCTGTTGCTGTCTTTCTCACAGGCCTCTCCGCTGCGTGGGGGCGGGGAGTTTTCGGTGCTGGACGTGTAGGGCGACACCCTCCTCTTCTTGTTGTCCCCCACGCCGCCCTCAAACAGGCCCGAGTCGGCCGAGTCTGATTTCACAGAGGGCGGCTCGAGCCAGGGGTCCTCGGCCACCACCCCCACACTGTCTTTGGGCTTGTCCTGCAGCAGGGGCGGCTGCAGGGACTCGAGGAGCGACGGAGGGTGCAGCCGGGGGTTGCCGGGTGACGTGGAGGACGATGAGGAGGAAGACGAGGATGATACCAGCCCAGCTCTGAACCAGCCTAGACTGGGGCCGGGTTTACCGGGGTGGCTGAGGTACTGAGGGGTGGGCCGGCTGGTGCTCCAGGCGGCCGAGGTGGCTCCTGATACGCTCGTAGATGCAAACGGGTGGTCTGGGTAGTAGCTAAGGGCATGGTGGGCCGACGTCTGCAAGGGGAAGGGCTTGTAGAAACCGTTGCTGGAGAAATCCCCCTCATAGGAGGAGGTGAAGTCGAGCCGGTTCGGGGCGACGCCCTGCTGAGGCGGCAGGTACCAGCGGCTGTGTGGACTGGGGCTGGAGGACGGGTCTTTGTGCTGCTGGCTCATGCCGAGGGGCTCGCGGCCGAAGAAGCGGCTCTGGGGCAGGGGGCTCATGTACTGCTCGGGGAGGTAGCCCTGAGGGTAGCAGCTCCCCGGCAGCAGCTGCTGGCTGTCTGTAGGGGAGGGGGTGAGGCGATCAGAGTCGGGAGGAGCGTACAGCCTAGCAGGAGGGAGGAGGAGGGGAAGAGAAGAGAGTGTGAGAAGAGGAGGAAAAAAAAAGAAGGTGTTATTTCCTGCCCAAACCTCAAACAACTATCAAACATCTCACAGCCCCTCACACCCTTCTACTGCAGCATGCTCGCTCAGCAGCAGCGCAGTAATTGCATCTATTCCAATATTAAAAGGGTGACACGAGCTCTGAGGACATTTAAGCAGTGGCAGCGATCCAGTCTCACTATTCATGATGAGCACATGCAAAGTTCACATTAAAATATCTCCTTTAGCCTCTTTGAAAGCAGAGGGTTGACTGTCTCTTTCACAAACGCAGCTATTTTCTAAATTACTTACGTGTCGTAATTGTCGCGGAAACCTTTAGCGAAGGGGTTATGGTCTATTTTCAGCTGAGTGATCTGTGTAGGGAACAGGAGGAGGGCAAAGAGAGAACGTGGGCAAAAGGAAAAAGAGAAGGAGTGAGCAACCACGTAGAAGAAACAAGAGAGGAGAGAGGAGGTCACAGACTAATAATTCATGAGGCCAACATGCAGTTTTCTCCTCTTATTGGAAAGAGTTCATCTTTAGAAGCAGGCAACGTGTGGGCACATGTACAAGTGTATCTCGCCTTGGCATGGACTGATTCTTACACAATGTATTGGAGCAGCTGCTACAGATATAGTGCAGACGGCACACAGTGGAGAGCAGAGAGCTGCTGTGCTCAGGTCAGCTGAGGTGAAGTGACTCCTCGATGAACCTGCGATGTATAGCTGCCCGTTTTGACGCTTTCAGCTGGTTGTAGGAATTAAATTAGCGTCTATGCATTTTTGATGTCAGACGTATGTACGGGGAAAAACATGGCTCTGACATGAATCTTTGAACTGCAGACATCACTAAAATGGTGTTGCGGAAGTTCTGAGAGGAGTTAATGTGGCTCCAGTGTGAAAGAAATCAATGATTATTACCATAAATAGTAAATTTTAAAAAAGCTACAAATCTCAAAACACTAAATCACGATGATTTGCAACAAGTTTTTTTTGCAATTGAGGTGACTTACGTCTGCATTCTGATAAGCAGTAACTGCGATGAACTGAGTCTCGGGGAAGATGAAGGTTTGGGCTTTCGAGGAGAGGAAGGGGTCCTCCGATCCGTCCTCCTTCACCTCCACGATGTGAAGACGAGGCTGGTACTTATGGAGCGACTGGAGGACGATCATCTGCACAGAGGCACAGCGACAGTCTAACATCTCGTATAACAACAGGGTCATTTCAAAGATTATCTGTTGAGGATTTTGTACTTTAATTTGGTAGAAAACAGACAGAAGATGCAGGAAATTGTTACTGCATGCAATAGCAGTAATTAACACATAAAGAGAGAGCAGTTGTGTTGCATGTTCATAATATGATTCCTGGATTTAATTGGAAGTGTTTTAGCCACTGAATGCACACGTTGCAATGATGGAAACACCCAGACAAAGACGAGAGCTGCAATTAATGTTGTTGATTACTTGTTTAATTAGTTGTTCGGTCTATAAATTGGCAGAAAGTTTTGGAAAAATGTATTTCCCAAAGCCTAAGATGACATCTACAATCTAAAAAAAAATCAGTTTACTCTCATAGAAGTGTAAAGAAACTAGAAAATAGTCACATTTAAGAAGCTGGAATCAAATGAATGTATAATTCTTTTTTCTTAAAATATTACTCAGATGTCTTAATTGATTATAAAAACAGCTGGTGATTAATCATTAGCAGCTTTAACCAAGACATAAAGCAGACGTCCGTGCTGTACCTGTGCCACGTTGTTGGTGCTGCCCTTGTTGTTGGTGAGCTTGAGTTTGCTGAACGACACTTCTTGTCTCATCCAGTGAGCTCCTGTGTTGGGAGAGTCGGGGTGCATGTACATCCTGTTCCCTGCAAGCAGCAAAGCAAAGCGTGAGCTGCACATAGAACTGTGAATCTTCCAACTAAGCTCTGGCTTGTAGCTGTTTTTCTCGAATCGAAAAAGAAAAAGCTACTAAACCTGCCACTCAGGCGATTTAGTTCATACTTTAAACTGTGCCGCTGTAACAGGACTCACATGTTTAACAGCTTAAATCACGACACTGCAAATTTATTCTCACTTCAAACAAGATGATTAAATATTTCTGAGTCTGACGTGAGAATTAATCGGCCAAATGAAGCCAACAGCTTCAGTTTTGTGATTTCGAGAGTTGTGGAGCCACATTAAGGTGGAAACAGATTAAATGAAAGTAAAATAACGGACCACAACACAGTTAAAAACTCCACACGATGCCTCGTTTTGCATGTTTTCCTGTATGTTTGCTGAACAGTCAAATTCCTTTCCTCTCTCACAGCCGATCATCATCATGATTGCAATAAATCCAAATGTAATTGCTCATATAGTCTATATTCAGCAAGGGGAAAAAGAAAGGATTTCAACAAATGAGCAAATTTGGAGAGTATAATTTATAGATAACACAAAAAAGAAACTCAAAAAAATATATGAATTGCAGAAATGTTAGCATGTTGAGAAAAAAAGTTGATGTAATTGATTTGGTGCAAATCTACATCCTTTTTCCATCATATTGTACCTGTAGGGATGGTATTGTTCTAATTCCGTGCACGTTTTCGGTGTCGGCGCCAGATTTTTCACAGCATTACCACAATGATCTGCTAACCTTAAATGTGTGCACCACATAAATGCACTATTAAATCTAATTGAGTGAAGCTGTTTCACCACAGTTTCCACAACTGTAGCGTGTCAGCAGTCACCTTTCCACAGCCCCTGGCATAAGTGTGACAACACCTTTATAGTGTTTCTCATTTATACAATTGTGGTTTGTCTGTCATCAGTAATCTGGTTGCTGTTGTTCTGATTTCTTTTTTTTTTTTTGCTGAAGTGTGAATCAGTAGAAATAACAAATGAAGGAAGAAGGAGGGAACGGAGACACTGAGGCAGATGTAAAACGGAGAGAAAATCAAGTCCAGTGTTGATTGAAAATCTCAATCCGTCACACAATCAAGTAGAAATAAAGGAGAAACGAGGAGCTGAAATGAACAATATGTGTCGTAAATTAATCAAGAGAAGCATTAGTGCAATTGTTGACTAATTTAGACACTTTGGGGGCGTTTAAAAGTGTTCCGGATGTCTGATTTGACAGGTGTTGAAAAAATTTTGACTCCCGTTTTTTGTCATATTCAAAATTATTAAAAAGATGTTTTTAGTATTTTTAACCTGCTGAATCCTAAAAAAGTGTTTGAAAGGCATGTTATCTTTCTTTCTTTTTTAATTTCCAAAACTACACTACACACTTTTTAGAGCCACAAACTGTAAAAACAAAAAGTACAATTGGATTTTCAACTTTCCAACAGTCCTTGAACTACTCATGTGTTTGCATAGAATCCTGATATTCCATCAAAGTTTCTTTATTCCCTTCAAAAAAATCTAAAAAAAAAAAACAACTCTGACATTCTGCATAACTGAGAGGCAATGATTTACTCTGCTGTGTTCATAGAGTTTTAGAGGAAAATAAAACAATCGTAGATCAATAAAATCAGTAAACAGAGGAGCATGTTGTTGGAAGATGCATTTAGGATGATGAAGCAGCTTTCTGCAGTTGCTGTGCAGAGAAGTGTGATAAAAAATGCCTAGTTTGTGGAGGCTGATCTGGGTTTTAGGTTTGGTCTAGCCTGTCAGAATATGACTCGTTTATGATGCATCTCCAAAATGCTGACTTTTTATGCAAAAATATTATGTTATCCAGTAGGTTTTAAATGGTGAGTTTAGCTCAGGATGCTGGAGATACTGAAGGGATGAAACTTTAGCTTGACTGCTCATGGATGTTTGAGGCTGATATCAATATTCTTGGGAGAGACATGGAGTAAAGAATCATTCTGCAGTTTGAAAATCAACAAGCTGCTGCTACCGAATTTCTTGTTACTTATCTGTTGACATACACGTGATACATCTGTAATCAAGCCCATATGTTAGTCGAGCTGCAGCCGAAACCCGAACCTCCCTCAGACAACATCAACAAGTACATTAACATTTGCACAGATGCTCCAAATGTTTGAAGAGGTGCAGTGAGGCTACGGAGCCACTTATGTGCCAAACATCTTCTAATAAGCGGCTTTTCTTCTCACGTTGTATTATCTGGTGCTCAAATGTTTTAGTTTGTGTTACTTAATGTATTTCTTTGAGATTTATATTTGGAAACTCTCTAAATGCATGAAAATTATAACTAATTCTTGTAAAGTTGTTATCGTCATGTTCCATAAAGCGACTATAGCTGGAAATGGGCTTCAATGTAAGAAAATGAATTCTTATTTTTAAACTAGATGTTATTAAACAATGTACAGTTATTTTATAGATGTTCCCTGTTTTGTTAAATTACTTAGATCAATTAATTAATTAATTAATGTGAATACATTTTTTATTGTTAGAAGTTAAAAAAAAGACTAATATTGTACATAATGTCAAAGTTTTGATAAAATAACAGTTTTTACTGTATTTAAATAAGCACAAGCATCAGTGTTTTATAGACATTTGCTGTTATTTGAAAGAAAAAAATGTATATTAAGGATTTTGAAAATGGTTCATGTTGCTTTAAAGTGCTACTTTCAACAGTTTTGCTAAATTACAGGCGATATCGAACAAAATCGTACATAAAAATTAATCATTTACATGTTGGATGCAAAAATAAATGCTAAATCTGAAAAAAAAAAATGTCCACATTATCATCAATAGTTCTTTAACAATTTGTTACCAGGAAATGACACCATTCTGTGAGTGTATTTTAATCTGCTAAAATACCATTATGTTGTTAGATATTTGCTGATATTCTAACAGGATTTCTGATTATTTATTAATTTAAAGGGTAGCATCAACAAACACACCAGAATCTACTGTGAACTAAAGTAAATGTGATAATTCTAGTGATTATTCTGTTGAACATAATAAGTGTTCCAGTGCAGTATAATATCTGTGTTGTTCGATCACATCCTGTGCGATGTGCAGAGAAGCTGCTGACTTAAACAACAACAGAGTCAGTACCGATATGTCCACGAAATACTCTCAGGCTCCTGGCGCATCACGATGCACGCCTTGGTTTCCCTACAGTGTGCATGTCGATGTGCTACAAATTGCTAAATAAACCACATCCTCAAGATCTTCCCCGCTGCACGAAGGGTGCTGAAGGCCTGTCGCCTTCTCACTGACTGACCACACTTTGTTCTAATCCTCTGGTTTTTAATCAGCACTTTAGTTTCAGGAAGCATCAGGAAGACTTTGAGCTTTTCAGAAAACAGAAAATACCATTTATGACTGAGGTAGTTTCTGTAATGTAAGAGCCTGATGAACAATCAGAGCAACTTTACACTATGAAAGATGACTAAAAAAAACTCTGAGAGAGATATGATGTTAGTAAACTTCAAACTGCATCCTCAGCTTATCATTACTTGACGTTAATGATAAGGACGAGCTGCTTTCAATGAGACACTTTTTATCAGCAAAAGTGAAAATATTTATCATGCAGGACAGTCTGTTATAGTGTAAAATACAGTATATGTGATTATTAGATTAAATTACTAAGCATGTGTCACTTTAACGCTGCAGCTGGTTAACGTGGGACTCATGTCGTCTGCTTTCCTGAGAAGTTTTATCAATAACAAGAAATCATAATTCATTTTTTTGAGAAAGAAATAGTTACTTTAGCCTTAAAATAAACATAGTTGAGTAGGTTTCTATGGTATGTGGTGGGGTAAAGTTTAAAGCAGCATAAAATTAAATTAATAAAAAATACAAGTTACTCAAACTACTACTGCCATTTTCTGTTATTGCTCATTTTATTTTATTTTTTTTTAAATCAATACGTTCAAAGTCACTTCCACCCCCTGCTGCAGCCCTCTGTAGCTGAGTTCTAGTGTTTATAAATTTGAAATAGTGTCCCCCGATTAACGAAAGTTGTCTAACAGGACTGGAGTTGTAATGTATTATGTGTTATAGTTTGAAAATGTACCTGGCATGTTCCCCTCCGCTTTCCCACACTGGACCCACTTGCCGCCCTGGTACCTCCAGTGGTGCTGATCGGCCAGAACCACGTCCACGTAGACGTTGTAATGGGCCGACGGATCCAGAACGCTGATATTGAAGCTCAGAAAGGGGAACATCCTCCTGAATAGACACAAAAAGATCACGTTTAGTCAGAGTTTTGTGAAGATTTGTTTGTGCATTTTTGTCCACAATAATCTGGAAATGCAAGCAAACCTCATCATGTAGTTAAAGTTAAATGACATTTAAAAGCATTGGCATGACTTTGTTGTATTGATAATATCCCCCAAAATGTCTTAGTTTAAATTTGATCAGACAAGGAACAAATGTAGACATAATTTTCCTTCAAAATTGAACAAATTGAAGCCGAAAAATGACAAATGCTTGGAGTAATTGTGCATTTTTGTTGATGTACAACCATTTCGAGGAGGATTTATTAACATTATACTGTATTTTTCTCGCATAACGTCTTATCAGTGAGCACAGGAACTGCAGCAGGCACGCTTGCAACCAGTGCAAAATACAAACACTGTAAAAAATGTGGGTTAAGTAAATGTAGCCTGAACAACGGTTCAAGCTAAGTCGAGGTAACCGAACTTCAGAAAACAAGGTCAACACATATAAGATGCTAAGTTTAACCAACATCTGCTCAGTCGTGCTGATAAATGACACAGATTTGCTTTCTGTGTACGTTTTTTTTCCTCTAAGTAGCGTTCGACGTGAAGAGGCTCTCAGTGGTTTGTTAAATTATACATGTGCGGAGGTAGAGGGTGAAACTGAACCTAACCTTCAGTGATGGTTTGCATTGTTTTCATTATTATAAGAGTAACAATCATGACTTAATCTAGCATGTATGACAGACACCCAGCTTGTGTACGATGCAATATTTCTGTAGGAAACTGCTGGCAAGGGAAGTGAATAACATTGATTTTCTTGTTGCATTGGCACTTGCTGGTAGGTGCAGCAAGTGAACATCTGAGAACCTTTGACAGGAGCCATACTGAGAAGACTAGAAGAGAGTTGGACTGTCTGCAAAACCGCAGCTCTTGTGGAGAGTTGGCATGCAGATTAGTTAGTATCTACCAAAAGCAGCCCAAAGAAGGACAACCGGTGAACCGACCACAGAGTCGTGGGCGCCCAAGGCTCAACAATGCACAAGGAACATGAAGATTCGATGCCACAGAAGAGCTGCTGCAGCACAACCAGATAAAAACTTTAATGGTGCAGGTGATAGAAAGCTGTATGGAGCTGTGTGGATGCAGACCAGTCAGAGTCTCCATGTTCTTCATGTTCAAGCTCCTATAATGAGGACATGAGGGTCAGAACTGGACCACGCAGCAACGGAAGAAGCTGGAATCCAGTTTTTTTTTGCAGCATGTCATGGCTGGTTAAGAGGTGGCAACAGTTTGGGAAGGAGGTGAGCCGACACCTGCTTAAACAGACCATGTATCTCACAGCAGGATAGGAATGGTTTAAGGAACACGATAAAGAGTTTAAGATATTGACTTGGTCTGCAAATATCAGTAGAGTGATTCTAATGCTGTGAACTACATTTCTGCAGTTTGTCGTATTAACTCAAAGGACTTCAAGTCAAAACAGCTGCTGTTTCTAAGATCTGGACTGGTTTATTTAGTTGAATTAACTTGAATGAATTTGAATAAACTTGCATGTTTACATGACGTTATTGAATAAGGATGTGTCACTTCCACTACATTCTTACAGTGATGCAATAAAACCACTTTTCCCAGTCAGACATGTTTAACACAGGGCTTTCATTTAAATCATTTAGCACAGTTTGCCCTGATTTGTACAACTCACGTCTCTCTTCTGTAGCCGTCACTGTCAAAAAAGTGGGTTCTGGTTACCCTCGACCAACCGTATATTTATAAAGAAACCATTAAAACCCAATGTGGTTTGGGAAAATCATACGATATATAAACGGCAGCATTATGAGAGCGCTTTAAGGATATCGGTGAATCTCCAGACTACAAGACTCTTTCTGTTTCTTTACCATCTGAGCTGGAGTAATGGACGTGAGGTGGAGGGGACGACTGACGCTGTGGGTGAATATTTTATGCCACGGTTAATAAAAGATGCCCCAGAAGCTGCTCTTGATAGCTGGGAGCTTTACATGTTTAACTTATTTTGATCACTGAGGTCTACAGTGAGCCGAGGTAACCGGGAGGTCAGGGCGTCCCAGGGTCCACGACCCCGGCGACGAGACGCAGGAGACGAAGGAAAAAAATGACACAAGATGTGGGCCATGAATACACAAAACTACAAACGTGCCATGACAGACGGACCCTGCTGACATTTATGTATACACTAACTATCCGGAGTGCATGCAGTGTTGACAGAGGAGCACTTTGCTGCACTGTTCCAACAACACTAAACATCACAACATGAATGTTACAGTCGTTCTCCGGGGGAATCATATTTACCCCCGTGCTTTCACTCAGTTGCATCATCTCGCAGTGGCTCAACATTTTGGGCTTATTTGCTTAATTCGCTATGAGTCAGGTGAGATTGATGCTCTCTTTAATGTCAGATATGAAAGCAGCTGGTGAGCAGAGTTTACTATAATGAAGGGATTGTGTTGATGTGTTCTCCAGTAAACAAGATGAAGAATCTGGAGCATCCTTGGAGTTTTAAGATGTTGTTCTTGTAGGTTTAGGGTTCATATTTGCTGCTTGGCACAAACCACAGGAATCGTCAACTCGTCAGCTTTTGGTCGTGAATCAGATTTGGCTGAATTGGTGCAAGATGAAAACACAAAGGATCACGACAGTCTGTTAAGATTTTGTACCCAGTTTTAGACCAATTCATCCAATATTTATAAAGATGTTTTGTTAAAAGCGTCTACCTGTTCGTAGTGCAAAAGGGGACATCAGGGGGGTTACCAGAATGGGTTTGATACATCCACTGGAGACCATGAATGTCTGTGTAAAATCAAATAGTTATTGAGATGTTTCAGTGTAAATAAGAATGGGGCTCTGCTGATGTGTGCTGGGGGTGTTGTAATCACATTACATTTGTCCGTCTTGAATAACCAGATCTATCTCCAAAGCACTGCATTGTGCTAGAGAATGGTCTAATGCACCTCATTTCTTCTGGGCAGTGCTGAGCTCAGGATGTAGCGATGGGGCTGGTGCCCTGGAAATTGTTTTGGTGGAACGTTTGCATGTAGGGAAGCAAGCACTGTCATTAAAATTGCTAATTCTTTTGAAAAACTAGCAAAGTTGATTCCCATAGAAAGGGATTTTGAAAACAGTTACAAACCAGATAGCGGAAGGAGATGAGAAAGACAGAAATGTGTGGCTTCAAATGGCAGACAGACGGAAAAACCACATCGGTGAGTCAGACTGGTGATGCAGTAATATGGCGCATTACTGTTCTTACATTCAGCAACCACAGTGATGTTGGCACGGTGTCCACAGAGGCATCTTTGGATGCAAGGGGTTGATGGATGTACCACTATGCAGTGTCGCTGTCGATGTTTGACAGATGCTCTGTATCCAATCAGATGCAGCCACCTGATTGGATGAAGGCTTCACTCTTCGGCTGTTTGATTTCAACTGGTCGAACATGGCGGCTCGCTTGGAAACTTTCTCTTATGTTGTAGAAATAGATGACGGACATGTGCTTCTAAAAATATTTGAGGTGAGAGATAAGCAGTGCATCAGTTTAAATCAGCAATATTCTGTTTAAAAGTTTCTCTGGGAGTTTCCAGAGGTAGTGATTTGCCTGGACAAACCTGATTTGCATAAAGTAGCCCAAAGACGATGCACCTCAGGTGATGTTGCAAAGTAGAAGTCATTTTACAAATAGTTTAACAAGTAACCAAGTGATCTTCAAAACTGTAACGCCAAATGTGTAATACATGTTGTTTTTTGAATGACCCAAATCTGGCAGACAACACGCTGCCCTTTTGTAGAGCAATGCCACAAGCACTGCTGCAAAAACCTCCCTTGTAAGACGAGGAACTCTTCGTGCGTCTATTTCCTGAGACGAACCATTTACGTGATGCAGGTCTGGGAATCTGAAACAATAAAAAAGCTTGCCTCTAAGGTTCACTAATTAACAAGTTCTACCATGTTTGTTTAATAAGCTTAAAAATGCTGGGCTAGCTGCTTCCCCCCTACTTTCGGTCTTTATTACTAACATCCACTTGCTTAATCGCGCTTCCCAAACTGTCGAAGTACAAATACAGGCCACAGAGTCTGACCAATTGATTTCCTATATCCTCCCATGCCGTGTGCATGTGGATTAAACTGTCATGCGCAGCGGGTCCATGTGAGGTCACCAGAGTGCAGTCGGTGTGAATAAATTAGGGCAACATGTTTGACATTTGGCCCAGCTGTTTTACACTGGCTAACAGCTCCTGAGGCTATGGAGCATTTGTAACGAGTGATGGGCAGATCTGGCTGCCCTATGTCTCTCTGACTGGTTCAATGTGAATAGAGAGGCTTTATTTTTTACTACATGTGCTGCCTGGAGTGTGTTAGCGGCACAAATCTGTATTTTTAAATGCAGTTTTAGTAAAAGTGGTGTTGAATGATTTTCTAAAAAAAACAAAAACAAATAAAAAGGACTTAATGTCTGTCTGATCAATGCTGTGCAGTGACGGCAGCAAACACATGAACATGTTGCTCTCTTGGTCAAAAAGGAGGTTAAACATGTAATTATACAAAAAAAATAATAAAATCTGTAAAGAAACTGTGAAAATCTGGCAGCAATGGTTCAATACAAAATTCCAAAACTGTAAAGACAAAAACATAAAGATAAAAATGACTATTAAAAAAAATCAAACTATGCCATTTTATGGTTGCACCTTTTTTTTTGTTTTTGTTTTTGTTTTTACAGTCAACATGTAAAATAATACGTTTCCAGTGGATTTTACTCGTTGTTATCTATAATTTATCAAAACAGGGAAAAATAAATCATAAAATACCAAAATAATTTACCATTTTAAATTCTTAATATAAATACATTTTCTTTAGAGTCATGGAAAATATGTGTGAAATAATTTTTTGCTGATCCAAATCAGAAATTTTAAAATAGCAAATTACTATTTGTATAAATAGAAATGTTTGATGTGGATGTTTGATTTGTACTGATTACAC